TACCCATTGGGACCTGGATACCTAAAGGAACACCTTCTTCTGTATTTGCCCTCCCGCCCCCTGAGATCGGCAGCAGAGGTCCTCCGGGAACCCTCCATGAAAGACATTAGGAGACAGAGTACCCAGAGGAGGGTTTTCTCTGTGGTGGCACCCCGCCTATGGAATGCGCTCCCCAGAGAGGTCCGCCTGGTGCTGTCGTTATTTGTTTTTCGGTGCCAGACTAAGAACTTTTTATTTCAACAATATTTTAATAAATTTTAACATCAGCTTATAGGTTTTAATCTGCAGCCAGGGTGGATCTGGATTTTATTTGTATTATGTTTTATTTTATTTTATGTAAGCCGCCCCGAGGCTATGCGATGAGATGGCATACAAATACTCTAAATAACTAACTAACCAACCAACCAGAATGGAGGAAGTTCTTGCACTGAACTGTGCTGTGGGAACTTCAAATATGTGACAGGACATTGTAAGGTAAACCAATATAGAGGTTTTGTTCAAGAATACAAATTCATGTTCTAGCATCTGAAGGTGCTTTCAAACAATACTTCTTTCTTCTGCTTGTTCATCTTATTATAAATGCTATTGCAACATAGTAGGGCTTCATGGTTTGTGTATACCATGTTTATGCGACTTCTCTTGCCTGTCTTGCTTCCAGTGTCTGATGAATCCTAATTTTAGCTCTGGTTCCTTAAAGGAAATCCAATCTTTGCTTCTCTTCTATGTTCTGACTGCTTAATGTGGCATACAAGCCTAGAATTGATTCCCCCACTTTGTTCCAGATTTAATTTAGAATCAGAGGCACCAAGAATCTACTACTTTTCTTTGGCTTGAAAATATGGCCTTGGTTCTAGAATTAAGATGTTTCAGGTCACTATAGAAGACATATTGTTTTCTTCTACCTGCAACTTCCCCTAATGATCAAATATGAGATGGATCAGTTTCATCAAGGAAGCTACAGCCTCCAGTTTACAGGAATTGCACAAGACTCTCAAAAACAGGACATTTTTTATTATTATTTATTATTATTATAACATTTCTATGCCGCCCCTTGCCGAAACCTCGGGGCGGCTTACAACACAATAAAATACATTGAAATACAATAGAACATAATAAATTACCATTAAATACAAAAATACAAAAAATACACTGAGTTACAAATATAAAATTAAAATTATCAGTATAAAATAAGTAAATAAAAATATAGGAGGAGAAAAGAGAAGGAAGAAGAAGTTGCCCTGGCCAGATCATATGTTTTAACAATTAAAATGATGTTTAAATAAAAAGGTCTTTACCGAAAAACCAGTAACGACGGTGCCAGGCGGACCTCTTTGGGGAGTGAATTCCATAGGTTGGGCGCCACCGCAGAGAAAGCCCTCCTCCGAGTACTTACTCTCCTAATTTCTTTCATGGAGGGTTCCCGGAGAAGGGACTCTCCCGCAGATCTCAAAGGGTGGTCGGGCATATACGGACATAAGTGCTCATTCAGGTAGCCAGGACCCAAGCCGTTTAGGGCTTTATAGGTCATAATTGGGCCCGGGCTTCAATGGGAAGCCAGTGAAGCTGACGGAGGACTGGAGTCATGTGAGCATAACGCCCCGTCCCCGTCAGCAACCTGGCAGCTCTATTTTGCACCAATTGAAGTGTTCGGACTGTCTTCAGGGGAAGCCCCATGTAAAGCGCGTTACAGAAGTCTAGGGAAGTCACCAGCGCGTGTGTCACCGTCGCCAGGCAGTCATACTCCAAGTAGGGGCGCAGCTGATTAATCAGCCGAAGCTGAAAGAAGGCATTCCTCGCCACCGCTGTCACCTGAGCTTCCAAAGAAAGCTCCGGGTCGAGGAGTACTCCTAAGCTGCGGACCTTATCCCTAAGAGGGAGTGTTGCACCATTCAGGACCAGGTCAAATCCATCCTCTCCGAAACCCGATCCACCAACCAACAGGACCTCCGTCTTGTCTGGGTTGAGTTTCAGTTTATTGGCCCTCATCCATTCCCTTACCTCGGCCAAGCACCGGTTCAGCACAGCCACTGCCTCACCTGGATTAGTGGAAAACGAGAGGTAGAGCTGGGTATCATCAGCGTATTGATGATTCTGCAGCCCACACCTCCTGATGACCTCTCCCAGCGGTTTCATATAGATGTTAAATAGCAGAGGGGATAGAATGGAGCCCTGTGGTACTCCATGGCATAACTGCCATGACGTAGAGACATGGTCCCCCAGCACTACCTTCTGGAATCGACCGTTGAGATAGGAGTGCCTCCAACCCCCAATCCCGCAAGCCTATCCAGAAGGATACCATGGTCGATGGTATCGAAAGCCGCCGAGAGGTCCAGAAGAACCAACAGGGATGCACTCCCCCTGTCCTTCTCCCTGCACAGGTCATCGTACAGGGCGACCAAGGCAGATTCAGTACTGTACCCAGGTCTGAAGCCTGACTGAAAAGGATCCAGATAATCAGTTTCATCCAAGAGTGCTTGGAGTTGTCCCGCCACCACTTGCTCCAACACCTTGCCCAGAAACGGGATGTTGGCCACAGGTCTATAGTTAGTGGCCATCTCTGGATCCAGTGACGCTTTCTTCAGGACCGGTCGTATTACCACCTCCTTTAAAGGGGCAGGCACTCGACCCTCCCTCAGAGAAGCGTTAACCACTTCCAAGATCCAGGTCCCAATCCCGTGCTTGGAGTTATTTATTAACCAAGACGGGCAAGGATCCAATAGGCAAGTGGTGGGACATTTTGGAGGACATTAATTGGATCTTCATAAGTGTGAAATAACTTGATGGTATACAATAACAAGAACTATTTCTCAACTTTTCTGAACTCAATCTTACTCAGACATGCAGAGACAGAAAGGACATGGTCTTGAAAGGAAGCTAACAAATATATTGACTAAATCAATGTAAGGCTTTGGGGAATGGACAAATGCACCAGAATCCAAGCAGCGAGGCAAGATGGTACAAGGCCACGGTCCAATCACCAGTCTAAATCACAAGTCTAAGTTATAATACCAAAAAAGGCCATGGTCAAAACCAGGAGTCAGTCATAGTGCAGTTCAGTAGACAAAAGTAGAGTCTGGAAACTAATGTTGCCAAGGCAGCTTCTGGAGGGAAGAGCCAGTTTTTAAATAGCTCATCTTCCAGGGCTCCCAGGTGGCCTTGGCAGGCCTTGGCAGCTGCAGTAGAGTCTAGGACTAATCCTGCAACTTCCAAGGCTGTCGTTCTGGCACTTGGCCAGCGGAAGGAGCCCTGCAGCTACCCAGATCCTGACAATAAATACACTGTCAGGCAAACCATGCAAGATAATGGAAGGTTTTGGAAGTACCATTGTTGGTCCATTAGAGAAAATAAACCCAGCATGACATTCTGTTTACTAGGCTGAACTAAAATGCTAGTGACAAGCTTTTGGGAGTTTACCAAAACATTTCTTTAGGCTGGATGTTAAGCAAAGAAGGGGAAAAGGGAAGGGAAACTCAGTGATCTTTTTAGTTGGTCCTAATAAAAGTATTATTCTGTCATGGTTTCTGTTATACTCTGTTATGATGTCTGACATCTCATTTGTGGAATGCAAAGAGTTTAAACTCTGACCTGAAATGCTGCTGTTATATATTATCTGCATATCTTGTGCAGATAGTTCCCTGGTTATAATTGTCCAAACTTGTACTTAACAAATGAGCAAGCCCGGAAGTCCCTCCTTGTCCTCAAGTGGCAAGCGGGTGCTCATGAGCAGCATGCAGGAAGCACTGGGCAGTGAGGAGAGGAAGAAAGGGATGAATAGGAAGGAAGGAAGGAGGAAAGCGAAAAGAGAAAGGGGAAAGCAGTGCTGGCAAGCAGCGAAGTCAGAACTCGAAAGCAACGCCAGTGATAGCCTCTGCACCTGCTGCTCCAGCAGCGCAATCGAACCCCGATTCTACAGCTCCATCCTCTTTCAATACCAGTTACTTCTCCATCATCATCCAGTTAAAGTTAGGCTTAATGTTAGCTCAGGAAGTGTTGACCTTTAATAATCTTTTTACAATTGTTTTTATCTTTCTGTCTAAACTGTTTTAAGAACTGTAGTGTACCTACAAACATACATACAGATGTATGTCTCTCTCTTCAGTACCTGTATTCACTTTATTATTACTGTATTAATATAATTATTAAAACGTGGCATTGTGTTTAAGACATTTTTGTGTATATAGAAGTGTTTCTTAAGTATTTTATATGCTTTTTATATATGTGATCTGACTTACATATGTGTGTATATATATCTGACTTAAATTCAACGTAAGGATGTTCTCAGGAATGGAACTCATCCATAACCTGGGGACTAACTGTATTTGTTAAGGCTGATGAGTAATCATTTTCATGTTTCTGGCTTCTTTTAGTTGTCCTTTAAAAGGCTCAGTCATTTTTTTTCTTTAATTGCAAGAAGTTTGTAACGAGTAGATGCAAAACTGCCTGCCAAAGCTGCTGAAAATGTAATAGATAGATGGCTGGGGAAAATGCTGAAAGCTCAGAATACACTCCTGCTTATATAATCCCCTCTTCCTGCACTAGGCAGCCCTTATAGTGAGTGCGCAACTGCTATACCAAGTGCATTGCAGTGCTTCACTATTACCCATGGCAAGCCAGGACCTTCCTCCTGGTTCTCAGTCTGAATCAGCCAGGAGACCCCTAAGGGCCCCATGAGGTGTCAGTGCTGTTCTGATGCTAGCAGGCTCTGTGTTGGGGCCCTTAGGAAGAAGTCAGCTGCTGGATGTTTTGGGATGCCTAAGAGGATCCTCCACCTCATCTTCACTGTGCAAAAAGAAAGAAAAAAGAGCAGGCTTGCAGTCTGATGTGGCTCTACTATGGCCAAAACAAGCAGACAAAGAGGGTTGAGTGATGATTCACTGGCTTAAAATACATTTAGGTGTCATGGTGAATTAAGTAAAGCAACAATGATTCTGTTGGAAATCTAACCATGATAGAAATCTAGTGAAATTATGTGTAACCACTATCCTAAATTCTTTCAACAGAAAAAGCTGCTTAGACAATCTAATGGATGAGGATGAAAAAGACAGGGCAAAGAGGTGAGTACCCAGTTTTGTGCAAACTTAATTGTATGCTTTATAAAGCTATTTTTTGTCATCTAACCACTCGAAAGAGAGGAGGAGCAGGAGGCAGAAGAGAAAATTAAGCTTGGCACAACATTTGAAACAATTGAATCTCAAATCTCAACAATTGAATCTCAAAGCACTGTTCTGTGGTTTACTTTCGTTTTTTACAGGGGCCATCTGAAGCCTTTCTTATGGCAGATGTTACTAGTTTCCTTAACAGAGAACAGCATCTGAACTAACACACATAAAATATTCATGAGTCCCATGAAACCCATATTTTTAGTGTTGGCAGAACATAAAAATCAATAAAGAAAGAAATTACAGATAGAAAGTAATTTCAAACCCATTTTGTTATGGAATTAATATACATTGTGGAAGATATGCTGAACTAAGCAAGAAGAAAAGGTTGCTGTTTGCCTAATACAGCTTTCTCCAGTCTGGTCCCCTCCAGAGATATTTGACTAAAGCTGCCATCATCCCGAAATAGCAAAGAACAATGAGAATTGTAGTCTAATACACTGGAGTTTCAAATGTAAACATTAATGTATAATATAATAAAATATCATGGTGTTTAATTGTATACCACATTTGTATAGCTCCTTGAAGTGTTCCAAGCACGTTGTGCTCTATCTAGTGGTCATCCATGCTAACCCTCTGTAAGATAAATCAGTGGTACTATACCTCCTATTGCAGATGTGGGGGTGGGGGAATGAGACTGAGGTAGAATGGCTTGCATAAGGCTACCTACGAAGTTCACAGCGGAGGCAAGATTTGAACCAAGGATCCACTTAGCCATTGTGCTATGCCAGTTATCATAAAAGCAGACAAAAACCCAAACTATAGAAACAAATCAGCTTGCTATCCCAAAGGTCAGCTAAAAAGGAAAGATTTCACTTGTTTCTTAAGTCAGGCAGGCACAGCTTAGATGTGCTTGGAGTTTAGCTATATTCCTATGCACGTATGAGAGTAGCAGAGTTTCCTGCTCCACTAGGTAAGAGTAGAAGTGGCAGTTCCAACAGAGCTGATAAAAAGTATCCTGAGAATCTAACAGCAAGAGCAAAGAGCAAAATTGGGCTGTGACCCTTCCTCCTGAGATTTGATCTCATCACAAACAAATAATATTTCTTCCTCAAGATCAAAAGAGCCACCAGTGATCATAATCCTCCACTTTAACTACTGCATCTCATGCTGGGTAAATCCAGGTATGCCTTGTCCCACTCTTCTTCTGTTGGATAAATATAATTTAAGTACCACTCCTAATTCATGCTTTTCTACTTAACAGCTTGATAGGAGGAATAAGGCTAGGGAAAAATCCACTTACCACTTCCAATAGCAGCAGGTCTCCATTGCAAGCAGGATTCCTGTTCCCCAGTCGTCTTGGTCTTTTCCTCCAATCCACCTTTACTGTAAGTAGAGGATCAAGTCATCATGGAGCCATAGATACAGGGAACAAAAAAGTATTTTTTTAAGGGACAAAGATTTTTTTTAAGTGGATTGTGTTTCCATCCACAGAAGGATACAGAAGGAGAAAGGACTTTTCTAACTAAAAATTTGCTAAAACATTCTTTATTATAGTAATTACAAATAATATTATTAACTGAAATAAACCTATTAAACAGAAATTTTAAAAGTGGTGCTACATGTTGTGGGGTTAGGGTTAGGACTGAGGTTCAGATAGGCCCTTCTAGGTGTTGAAATAGCAACAAGGAAAAATAACTACATTTTGGTAAGGCACATAAGTTAGGAGGCAAGGTTATGTGCCCATGGTAACACCATCCATCTTCCTCAGTTAGTTCCAAGAGGGTGACATAACAAGGTAAGGAGAAATTAAAAGCTAGGTACAACACAAAAAGCATACCTAGGAAACATTATTCTTTCATTTTATGTTCAAAACTGGCACAAGTCTCCAGTTTTCCGTGCTGGGTCAACAGTACCAAAAGGGCTTCATGACAGAATTGCTATCATCTCATTTGGGGTGCCTAAGGAAGCAGGAAAGGCTTTGTTGGAATGAAAGGCAATAATAACTATCAAATCTGACTGGCATCTGGAATATCACAGCAGCTGTTTGCTAGTACCTCTCCCCCGCTTGTAGACACGTCCTTGGTTTTGTGAGACCAGCAGATTAATTGGCAATATGGAGCCCTAGATTGCATCTGCTTTGCTTTCTCCAGTTATGTTTTCTTTTCTTTTAATGAAAAAAATTATAGTCTGGGCATTGCTCTTTGATTCACTCTTATCTCTTCTCTATTTCTTCATTCCCTGCAGCTTTCTTTTAATAATATAGGTCATGGTACTCTGTTGCTTGGCTCAGCTCTCTATTTTTCTAATCCATGCATTATCACAATAACAGAAGGCCACTATTCAGTCCTAGATATTGGACAGAATATGAAAGTGAATAATTGATTTCCTTTACAATTGACAAGGAGATTTTGTCATAAATGACACTACTGAGTACTGCAGGAATGAGTATTATATTTATGCACATTATTAACATATGATCTGAGAGCATGTAGTGTTTGCACTTGAAGGGGCAAGTGCCTTTCTCCATGGGAAGCAGGTTAGGGTAATGTGAACTGATGTCAGTCCTTTTATGTTCCTCATTTTTAATGTGAATTGCATTGATGAATTTGGCATTTACCAAGTGAGAAATAGCTTCTTTTCCAATGGTTTTCATTGGCTAGAGGGCAGCTTGGACAATCCTTTTCCTGATCTGGTTCCCTTCACCCTGGTGCCAGTTCTGCTTCACCAGCCCTTCACTTCCATCCATGTGAGGACAGAACCTCTAAATATGTCCTATGCATGCAATTCAACACAGAGAGACCAAAATGCCTGGACCGCCCCCCCCCAACTGAAGATGATTTTAATATGCATTGGATTTTATATACATAGGCCATATCTGAACAATTGGACCTGTGTGAGTTTGTGGAGCATGCAGAGACAGGCCTGTGTGGCATAACAGTTGGGCGTTAGTGTGTTTGTTCTTTTTTGGAAAGTATTCCTTGGCTTAGGAAAATGGGAGTAGTGGAAGCCATTGCTTCAGAACTGTCTCAGGACAGCTTTTAATCTCTGGCTACTGGTTTATTTTGCCCATAATAAGAAATAATTCATAAAGCTTGCACTTCTTGTTCTTTTCACTTTTCTCCTATTGATAGGGCTTCACGAAACAAGTCTGAAAAGAAGAGGCGTGACCAGTTCAACATCCTTATCAAGGAGCTCAGCTCAATGCTTCCAGGAAACACTCGTAAAATGGATAAAACCACAGTACTTGAAAAAGTTATTGGTTTTCTTCAGAAACATAATGGTAACAAGATAAAATAATACCCCTGCTATATGTATACTGTCAGCTAATGCCTTTGGTAATAAGCAGTTCTTTCCCAGCAGTCAAAAACAGGCTTGTTTTGACGTATGTGTTTTTTCCCAACAACGGGTATCACCAAGTATGAAAAATAGAAATTGGAACCTGTAGATTCATATGAAGTTTGTCAGGCCTGCTTCTTATTCTTGTAATATTTAAACAAGGAATCATTCCTATGTGTCATGAATATGATAAGTGTAGATGTGTTGGCTGAATGCCAAAACACTAAATTAGTTGTGCTAAAGATCTCTGTGCAGTAAGATTTTGGAAGCAGTTCCAAAGGACAAAATGCAGGTCAAGTTAGATCATGTTACATATTTTATTGTGGAGAACATTTTGGGTCAAAATTAATGAGCAGTTCATACTTCTCTGTTGTGAATTGCCAGGCAGAAAAACAGTATGATATAGAGTTACTGTTGGTGTTACATAATAATTCACATTTTATTGATGATGATGATAATAACAATATGAAATAACTCATGCAGTTCATTGAACACAGTATTTAATGATTTTTTTTTCATTTACCAGTTAAATCTAGTGTGCTACTATCACATCCTAAAATCAGTTGTTGATTTTTTAGGCTGATTTTTACATGTAAATGCTTTAAATTTTAACATTACAAGTGATGAAAGTTCATTGCTATTTATTTACTTTAAAGGAAAAGATAGATTTGGCAGATTAATTGCTGTGATATTTCTACACTGTTGAAGTCCACCATGTAGAATGCTTACAGAAGTCAGGTTGTGCTTTTTAGAACAAAGAATCCTGTAGTTTTATCTCACCTGAGCTGACTATTGACTTATTGGTAGATATATAACATATTTGTGTTTGTTTAGAATTCTCGGCACAGACAGAGATTTGTGATGTTCAGCAAGAGTGGAAGCCTTCCTTTCTCAGCAATGAAGAATTTACCCAGTTGATGTTGGAGGTGAAAAATGCAGTTTTTGCCTACTTTTCAATGTGTGTCTCTTCCTCCAATATAAACAGTGGCTACAGCTGGGTACTTTTAGTCTGCACTTACAGAGTTAGACAAAAGTTCTGCAAGAAAAATAGTTTCTAAAAGAAAACTATTGCTTCTTTGCAGGTGATTATTTGTATCCAAGGGTGGAAAGACAAACCAACAAACAAACACAAACTGTCTGGGCTACCAAATTACTTTTAGGACGCTATCCTATGCTTGTTTAGATAGAAAAAGTCCCGGCTGGCTGGGAAGCTTTGGATATGGTAGAATTTCTTTCTGCCAAAGCATGCATTCCTAAACTACTTAAAATTAAACAGGTGGCATACTTACTAATTGTAAAGTAAATATACTGCTAATAACAAAATAGTAATTATAGCTTGTATGCATTCTTTATTTTGCTTTGATTCTAAAATATTCTAATTTAATGCCAAAAAATAAAAATCTGAAACTTGGACAATTCTATTTCATGATGATTGACTGCCAATGTAATTTATAGTTCAATAAAAAACTGTGTTATAAGCCAGCAAATATTTTCATTTTGCTTTGAAAGCAGATATTTCTGTTAATTCTCTAAGCATGTAACACATTAAACTAATAACATTATGTTAATTATAATTGCCACCTTATCAATAGGTTTCAGTAGTGTTTCAGTGATGTCTAAATGGGTTTTGTTAGACACACTGTAAACATTTGAAAAAAATCAATTTTTACAGTGTGCCATCATTAAGATGCTTATCCTGTAACAGCTTTTTAGGCTGCTGTACCTTAAGTGAGATGGTCTTTCAATTACGTCCTGTTAAGTTTTAGAACTTCTTTCAAAGTAGGTTTTTAGTGACTGTTGTGCAGGCTTGATATTAAACAGAATTTTCCATTGTTCTGTTTTTGCATATGGCATACATTTCATACAGGTTTCTCTGCCAATATCATTATTAGTAGCTAACCTTTTTTTCTTAGCATGGTTCATCTGTGTTTAACAGCTACAGTATGTGACAACCTAAACATCAACAGGTCAAGGTTCTTGTTCCCCTCGTTGTACCTGCAAAGCAGCAAAAACTGCACCAGTTGAATTTCTGCTTGGCTTTCAGCTGTTACCGGCTTCCTTTTTACAGACTTGGTTGCTTCTTTTGAGCAATCTTTGCAGAAAAACGTACCATCCTTCTGCTGAACAAACTGTTTGCAAACTGAGAAGTAAAAATAGAGTTATGTTTGGATACATTGACAACATTCTTCCATAACATCCTGATGAGGGTCCATCTGTAGAATGTATAATGGATTCAAAATAAAGATATTATTTACACAAACAGCTCTCCACAGTAACAAGCCCAGCACAACTATCTTTGGAGAATTCCTTCTTCTCTAGGTTAAGTGCTACAATAATACAAAAACGTGTTAGGGCAAAAGTAGTTCATGGCTCAATGCATCATTCAAAGTTTCATTCCAGATTTTATAATCTCAGTTTGATTTCTTGGAAATATAGAACTTTCACAGCTGGAAGCAGAAAGTAGAAAAATACAATAAAGCTTTCTGAAAACCAGAACAAATTAAATTTTCTGTTGGTTATTCTTTTTTGAAGTGACGAGGAGACATAAATGCTGTATAGAACAATGCAAGAATGAGTATATGATTTAGGTCATACCTGAGTGGCCTAGTGCTTTTCCCTACTTTCTTCAACTTAAGCCTAAATTTTGCAACCAGAAGCTCATGATCTGAGCCACAGTCAGCTCCTGGTCTAGTTTACTGACTGTATAGAGCTTCTCCATCTTTGGCTGCAGAGCACATAGTCAATCTGATTTCTGTGTTGACCGTCTGGTGATGTCCATGTGTAGAGTTGTCTCTTGGGTTGTTGGAAAAGAATGTTGGCTATGACCATCGTATTCTCTTGACAAAATTCTACCAGCCTTTGCCCTGCTTCATTTTGTACTCCAAGGCCAAACTTGCCTGTTATTCCGGTTATCTTTTGGCTTCCTACTTTAGCATTCCAATCCCCCATGATGATAAGGACATCATTTTTTGGAGTTAATTGTAGAAGGTGTTGTAGGCCTTCATAGAGCCAGTCAACTTCAGCCTCTTCAGCACCAGTGGTTGGGGCATAGACTTGGACTGTTGTGATGTTGAATGGTTTGTTTGTTTGTTTGTTTATTTATTTATTTAGGGGACTAATATGCCACCCCATTCGCCAAAGCCTCGGGGCGGCTCACAAACCATAAATAAATAGAATTCAATAAAACAATATAAATTAACAATATAAATTAAGTAGCCCTGGCCAAAGAATAAAATGAATAAATAATATTAACAATTAAAATAACATTTGAATAAAAAGGTCTTCGCCTGGCACCAAAAAACAAATAACGACGGCGCCAGGCGGACCTCTCTGGGGAGCGCATTCCATAGATTGGGCGCCACCGCAGAGAAAGCCCTCCTCCGAGTACTTACCCTCCTAATTTCCTTCACAGAGGGTTCCCGGAGAAGGGCCTCTCCCGCTGATCTCAAGGGGCGGGCGTGCATACATGGACGTAAGCGCTCCTTCAGGTAAGCAGGACCCAAGCCGTTAAGGGCTTTATAGGTCATCACCAACACCTTGAATTGGGCCCGGACTTCAATGGGAAGCCAGTGAAGCTGACGGAGGACTGGAGTCATGTGAACATAACGCCCAGTCCCCGTCAGCAGCCTGGCAGCTCTATTTTGAACCAATTGAATCCAAGGTTTGCCTTGGATTCGAACTGAGATCATTCTGTCATTTTGGAGATTGTATCCCAGTACTGCTTTTCTTACTCTTTTATTGACTATGAAGGCTACTCCATTTCTTCTGAGGGATTCTTGCCCGCAGTAGTATACCTGATGGTCATCCGAATTAAATTCACCCATTCCTGTCCATTTTAGTTCACTGATTCCTAAGATGTTGATGTTCAGTCTTGTCATCTCTTGTTTGATCACATCCAGCTTGCCTTGAGTCATGGATCTTACATTCTAGGTTCCTATGGAGTATAGATCTTTGCAGCATTGGACTCTCCTTTCACCACCAGATACATCAGCAACTGACTGTCCTTTCGTCTTTGACCCAGTCGCTTCATTCTTTCTGGCGCTACTAGTACTAGCTCTCTGCTCTTCCCTGTAGCATATTGGACACCTTCCGACCTGAGGGGCTCATCTTCCAGCATCATATCTTTTTGTCTTTTGGTACTGTCCATGGGGTTTTCATGGCAAAGATACTGGAGTGGGTTGCCATTTCCTTCTCCAGTGGATCACATTTTGTCAGAGCTCTCTGCTATGACCTGTCCGTCTTGGGTGACCCTGCACGGCAGAGCTCATAACTTCATTGAGCTATGCAAGCCCCTTTGCCACGACAAGGCAGTGATCCATGAAGGCGGGTAAAGGTCTCCCCTTGACGTTACGTCCAGTCATGCCTGACTCTAGGGGATGGTAGTCATCTCCGTTTCCTAGCTGAGGGAGCCAGCATTTGTCCACAGACAGTCTCCGTGGTCATGTGGCCGGCATGACTAAACACCAAAGTGCACGGAACGCTGTTACCTGCCCACCGAAGTGGTACCTTTTTATCTACTTGCTTTTGCATGCTTTCGAACTGCAAGGTTGGCCGGAGCTGGGACGGAGCAATGGGAACTCACCCCATTGTGCAGATTTGAACTGGCGACCTTTCAGTCAACCAGCTCAGCAGCACAGTGGTTTAAACCACCATAGCTTATGTAAAAGCATCCAGTTTTGTTTGAATCACTGAGGTACTTTGAAAGAACATTTTAAAAAGATTTTATGCTTATAATAATTTTCAAACTTCTAATGTAAATCTAAAATATGTGCCTTACCAATTCATAGTTAATAAGACTTGTACTCTTTCTTCTTTCACCTTATTCCCTCAGGCATTAGATGGATTTGTTATAGCTGTTGCCACAGATGGAAGCATTGTGTATGTTTCTGACAGTATCACGCCTCTTCTTGGACATTTACCAGTAAGTAATTCTTGTGCGTTTATTATGCAGCCTAGATGTCTTCAACTGATTGTTGCACTTGAGCTTGTCTGGATAAAAACACAATTAATGAAAGCACAACCTCACACTTGAGAGACTCATCCTTTTGCCATGGAAACTGTGGGAAAATGGAAAGGAAAACAAGTACCACGCACAATATCAATTCTTGCTTTCTTTTGCTAACAACATCATCCTTTCAGGAGGAGGCGAAAGGAATATTGGGGCAAGATCTGGTGATGTTCAGCGTTAGTGAGAGTGATGTTGTTCTAGAATAAAATGGGGAAACTTATCACAGCAGCACACACTATTGTTATTGCACTAAAGTTGATTTGCAATAGCACAGTGTCATTCGCACTAGCACTTGGACACCATTGGCTCTTACATCTGGCCTGAAGCCTGGTGGTTGAAGTGAAAGTGGTGGGCACCTTGGAGAAAAGTGGCCATCTCTTCTTTGCATTTCAGAGACAGAATCAAGATTGAGAGCTATCTTGATGGGCTGTAAGCCCATCAATAACCAACACAATGAAGTACAACAGCAATGTACAATGTAAATACATTTAGGTACAAAAAAATCAGATACACAAGAATGTGAGCAGCGGGGGATCTTGACAACACAACATGGGAGAAGATGCTAGGTGATTTAGTGCATCTGCTAAACATGCTAATCCAATTTTAGAGAAATGTAGGGTCCAGATCATGGGAAGTAATAGATTCAACTGTCTTTTGCACTTGTGAGGCAGTATCTGCAGTACTGTCTTCAATTTAAGTGTCACAGTTTATGAAGGACCATGACAGGTTGCAGCAAATCCAAAAGAGGATGGTGAGGGCCACAGAAAGCAAGGCCTATATGGAACAATTGGAATAGCTGACCATGTTTAGCACAGAAAGGAAAAGATTCAGGGCACACATGACAACTGTCCTTAGGTAGCTGAAGCACTGTCAAGCAGAAGATGGAACAGATTTGTTTTGTTTTCTGCTGCTCCAGATGGCTGGACTGGAACCAGTGACTATAAATTGCAGTGGAAGAGGTGTTGTCTAAACATTGCAGGATACTTCCTAACTGTAAAAGCTGTTTCACTGTCAAACAGCTGCCTCAGGAGGTAGTTGGCTCTCCTCTTCCCTGTATTAAGGCAAAAATTGAGGGGCCAACTGTGAGCAGGGAATTCGACTAGACTACTTAATTCCTGCAGTTTCTTCATCTTTATAATTCTGTATCTTCCATAGTGGCAAAGTTATAACCTGTTTTTAATTGAAGGTCATATTAATTAAAATGCTTTTAAAAGACTCCTTTATTGACTTATTCTGACTGACTTTTTGTGTATTTTTATTTATGTCTCTATTGATATATCACATCTAAACAGATTCTGGAAAAGTAAACAATAAAAGATAAAAAGGCAGCATCTGAGAGGCCATATAATACTTTGGACTCCCAGAAGTATCCGCATCCAGCCCCCTCCCCTTCACAGCTAGCACAGAAACAGCTGTGCTGACTGCATATCCAAGGTTGGGCAAGGAAGGGAGGAGATTGGATAGGCTAGGATAAAAGCTAACCCAGGGCCTCTCCTGCTTCCTATGCACCTTCCAAATGCCTCCATGGGCTAGGCAAAAAAGGCCATCTAGCAAGATCGCAGGGCACAAAGATGGGGAGATGAAGCTTATGTCTTCCGCTTACTCTTGCCCTGTATAGGATGAATATAAGCCTCTGAGTCTGAGGGCTTACAATCATTGTAATAGGATTATGCCTTTAAAAATATACTTTTTGGCTTTGTTTTTTAAAATTAAAAAGGTTAAAAATATAGCTGGTTGGTCAAGGAATCCTTCTTGACTTAAAGATGTATTCTGGAAGTACCAAAAACAACAAAATATTACTGCCTGCCTGACCTCCAGAGGAATGAAATTCCATGGAAAGGCTGTTTTCTGGGTGGTCTCCAACAGGCTCATAGGACTATGCAGAACTATGAAGAATAAGCCATATGATGACCTCATTGATCAGACAGGATGATAAGGGATAAGGTGATCTCTCATGTGTCTTGACCCCAAGTTGTTTATTCACTAGCAGCAAAACTTTAAACCTGTCCCAGTAATGCATAGGCAGCCTGTGCATTTCCCTCAGTAAAGGAGTTGCATGTGATAAGGAGTTGCTTCTGCTTCAGCCCCCAGCTTCCAGATCAGCCTTAAGGGCAGCTCCACCCAGAGGTCATTGCAGTAATTTATTCTTGGAGTCACTTGTGCCTGTACCACTGTTGCCCAGTTGTCCCTGTCCAGGAGACCCTGGCTGGTAACCCAGCCAAAGCTGATAAAAAGGCATCGTAAGCCATCATGATCGGTTGAAATGAGAAGTACCCTCAGACTACAAACCTTGTCTTTCTAAGACAATGCAGCTGCATCTAAAGCAGACAATGACTTGGAAACCATTCACCCACAGCTCTTCTTTCTTCTCAGGATTCAGCTTCAGTTTATTGGCCCTTATCCAGCATATTACTGAGTCTAGACACTGATCTAGGACTCACACAGTTTCACCTGATTTAGATGTCACAGGGAGATTCTTTGTCATCAGCATACTGATAACCCTTGGCTCTGTATCCCCTTGACAGTTTCCAAAGGCTTCATATAGATGTTGAACAATATTAGTGATAAGACAGTACTCTGTGCAACCCATAGTTCAGTTGCCAAGCGACCAATGAATAGTCATCCACTGTTATACTTTGAAATGAACCCTGCATATAAAACTGAAACCACTATAGTGCAGCTCATAGGATCCATCCAGAAGAATGCCATGCCAATTGTATCTATAACTGGTAAGAGATTAAGCAAGATTAGGGTTGTATTCCCTGTCCCTCTCTCAATGAACATCATTCATGAGGGTGACTAAAATTATCTCAATCCCATAATACGATAAGCACTATCCTCCAAGAATGCCTGCAGTTGCTCTGCCATGATCCTTTCAAGAACCTTCTCTGAGAAAGAGGTATTTGCAAATGGTTGGTTCTTGAGTGGGTTTCTTTAGGAGTGCTCATAATACTGCCTCCTTAAGGTTAGCAGAAAGCACCCCTTCATACCAAAATGCATTTAACACTCCCAGGAGCAACCTGGTCATACCTCCTTAGCTAGCTTTTTTTTTTAGCCAGGAGAAGCAAACACCTCATTTACATCATCAGCAACTGAGATTCATCCCACAAAGTTGGGCAGATGGAGGTAGACACCTCAGCAGATAAAATTTGCTGTGAGACAATTAATTTTGTCCTCAGCACAATGTGGAAAAAAATCACAGTCTTTGAGGAAACCAGGGATGCGTTTGGTGGGGGAGTGTTGATAATCCCCAGAGTACCTCTGCTGCATGGCTGCAAAAAGCAGATATAAGCATGGCTATGTGCTCCAGGGGAAGGCTGCTTCCCTGGCCTGGTGGCCTTCAGAAGCATTTGTACTACAACTCCCAGAATTCCCATCCAGCAGGGCCATTGAGTGAAATCTGGGTCTTACAGTCCAAATGTGTCTGGAAGGTACAAGGTTGGGAAGGCTGCTCTAGAGCATACACAGTCATCTTTACTTGGAGTCTTATGCCATCATACAGCCAACATCCAGCCTGTTTCATTGACTGCAGCTGTCCATTATACCAAGGAGCAGAGCAGTCTCCATGGCTCTAGAAAGAATAGGTACAATCAAGTTGTCCCCATTTTCCCAACGTTGCATCATCTAATAGATAATTTCAACATCTCCTTAGCATCTTCAAAGATTAGGTACAGGCTTTGCCAAGAAAACTGCTGTAATGACACAATGAGATCATTTGGGCGGTTTCTCATTGGGTGACAATTTTAATGACATTTTAAAAGTATTCACAGTAATTTTTCTATGTGCTCTTGGACATGTGTAATGCTGTCTGACTTGTTTATTTTCATGATTCATGTTATTGCAGTAGACACAGTAATGTTGTTACTATGATAAAAGGCAGGTCCAAAGTGCTACCTGCCTATAGCCGACCTGTACAATAGTTTTTTAAAGTAGCTACTCCCAGAGAAGCCCTTCTCACCCCCTGAAAAGTTCCTTCTTGGGGTTAAATATGAGAAATGGCAAAACAACCTAGGGAAAGCATGAACATCGTGTGGTCCTCCAGGTGTTATTGGGCCACAGTCCCATCAGCTCCATCCAGCATGGCCAGTGGTTTGGGGATGAAGGAAATTGTTATTCCGCAATATGCAGAGGACCACAGATTTTCCACCAGTGCTGACACATGAGGATACACATGAGTGTTTATGGATTCCCACTGTTGTGGTTTCGTACTGTTTAAGTATATATTAATAGGAAACTGTAGACATACATGCACACTTCGAATGTGTCATTTAGGAATTAGGCCTTTTGTTGTAGACTTTAGTTTTGTTCATTGTGAAATGATTGCAAATAATGTGAATGCTTATTTTTCTGTGTTTTGATAATGAGCATTGTTTTGTTATTTACAGTGTGATGTAATGGATCAGAATTTGTTAAATTTCCTCCCGGAACAAGAACATTCAGACATTTATAAGATACTGTCATCTCACATGCTTCTAATGGATAATGTCTCATCAGATTACTTAAAATGTGAGTGTTGCTTTCCTGTTTTTTAAAATACTTTATTGTGAATAGATAAATACACAATCAAGCAGAACAAGAAATCAACAAACACACAACCTCAGCTCAGAGTCTAGGAGTGATTAGCCATGCATGAATGCATTTGTCATAGTAAGATGATGCAGTCCCCATAGGTTACTTTACTATGGTCACTGAACAAAAATCATAAGAGTTTAAGACTTGTTTCTTTTGTAAAGGTCGGTACATGATATATTTATGAATGTTTTGCTTGAGAGTATATTGCAGCTATTTTATCTGAAAGGGATAGTTCATATATTGTTTTTAACTTTCAGGCTTATGGGAATCAGTCCATATTGAATTATTCATTTGTACAATTATAATAATTGCTTTTATTGTACTTCAAAATATATTTGCAGCTATATTAGTACTATGTTGACTCTTCAAGAGTGACCTAAGGAAGAGTTGTTTCAGTTGAAGAATAGATATATTTATATGAGAAAAACATGATCAGATTATCTTTCACTTCTTTTGGAATATCAGCATGTACAGAAATACTCTAATGAAGTTTATTTTTTACAAGAGAATTGTGAAAAATTCTAAGAATTGAATTTTTCTAAATAAAAAATTTTTGTCTAAATGTAGAATAATTTTATATTCTCTAAAAAGAAAAGAGATGACAATAAATAGGTATACGGTTTACTTTGCCAGGTATGCAGTTTATTTTTTCAATTTCTTTGCTTTCAATTATGTAAATACATTAGCATACACACACATACAGCAATATATTGTATGTTTATTGTAAGCCATCCTGAGACATTCTGTAGGGGACGGGATAGAAAAGCTTTTAATAAAATAGATAGATAAATAAAATCTCCATGATTTTTTGATGGCGTGGTACTGAATAACTAGATAAGAATGAATTCAGTCCTTAGCATTAAAAATGCATGAGAAATATCTATTTATAGTTCTGAGCAGCCTAGATTCATGCAAAGATTCAACCTACAAAATATGGGCCAATGCAGCCACAAGCAAGTCCTTGAACTCATTGTGGTTCTTTCATTTGAGAGCTGGAGGGACTCAGGAGCTCTGGGTTCCTGACTCCACCCAGCCATGGTGCTCACTTTGGACCAGTCACTTACCCGCAGGCCAACGTACCTCATAGGGCTGTTGCTATGAGGAAAAGATTGAGAAGAGGAGAATCCCCCATGAGTTACTTGAAAAGAAAAAAGAATGATTAAATATAATAACATAATACATAAAAATGCTTGATTTATACGATTTCAGTTTGTTTGATTTGCAAAGAATACTTATTTTGTCACACTTTTTTTGGCTTTCCAGCTGATGATGTTTTTGAATTTTATTGCCATCTTCTGCGAGGGAGCCTGAATCCAAAGGACTTTCCAACATACGAATACATAAAATTTGTAGGGAATTTTCTATCTTGCAGCCATGGTAAGTCTTGACTATTATATGATTGTACAAGTCTCTGTAGAATATAGGCTGTGACTAAATCTATGTAAACATATCCTTTATTGTACTTTTGTCCACTCGTGATGATGCAGTGATTCCTGTAAGCCACACATAATTAGTGTCTCTGTTGTTGACAGCAGCACATGCGCAGGTAGCCAAAGGGTGGATAAAAATGTCAGGATATACAGCATGAGGGGATGCCAAGATTTGCAGGTGGCACTAGCTGAGAAGCTCATTTGTGGCAGCTGATGCATCAAGGGGATGACCAAACAAGATAGGCTTATGAGGATATGTTTTCTATTTTTTATTTTTGTTAACAAAAAAGAAAATGGGTTCAGACCTCCAGTCACACTAAAATCCATTTGGAAAGGCAGAATCCTTTAAGAATCAAATATATACTTTTTATAACTCTTCATAGTTTTTGTAACTTTTGCAGTACAAAACAGAATGTGAATATTTATATAATACAGTAAGTGCTTCTAGTCTAAAATATTGTTTAAAATTTTGTTTATTAGTTTAAAAATACTGAAATATTTTAAAAAGTTTATATGGAGGCAGACCTTCGAGCATACAGAATTGGGAAATTTGAGTGGGGATATCATTACAGAATAGTTTCCCAAAAAGTTAGCAACTTGTTACTTGGAATGATATACAAAGCACACTAACTAAATGTCAAATTAAACTTAGTGGGATTTATTTCTGGTTAAATGTGGATTGTAATGCTGAAGTTCTAGGGGCATTTCCCATGTGAACCAAGTGTGTGTTTTATGATTTGTTGTGGAAAATCAAAAATCTCCTCTTAAAGATCTGAATCAATTGTAGATGTACAACATTTTTCTAGTAAATAGTCAAACTGTTTTATACTAAAGAAAACGCAAAGACCTGGTTCAATCATACCACTAATCCATGGTTTATTTAATTCATGGATTGTTGAGTTTTCACTTGTCATGATATGCAAGCCCAGCCAGAAAGAAAACCTATGGTTTGTTCTATTGTTAACTCTGGATTGCTTAAATTTATTTATTTATTTACATGTATTTATAGGCTGCCTATAATTGCCAAGGCCTTCCTTAGTTATAGCTATGTGTGAACCCGAAACCATGAATTAGAGTGGTTCAAAAAACCCACCTGTTCTACATGCCATTACTTCAGCACCACAAAGGCATTTTAAATACTAGGAGGGAATGGGCAAAGGAAGCAGGAAACAAACAACCCAGAAGACAAAAGAAGACAAACTACAGTTTGTTTGTTTGCCAGATAATCGCTGGATAAGGCAACAAGCCATGGGTTAACTATGGGTTAGGTAATCATGTGTGAACCAGGTAAATACTTCCTCCATATAGCACATTGTTACTGTGATTGCTATGTGGAATATGATTGTACAGCGATACATCCTGTTTGAGGGCCATTTTTGTTGTTCTTAAAATTCTGTGGATGATGCATGTGCAACTACTATTCAGGAAAGCATATCCCATGTTACTTTTCAAGTAGCAAACATCAATAGTAATGCTTTTGTTTTTAGTTTTATTTTTAATTCTTTCCAAATTCTTCATTCTACTTTTCCTGAGCTAGAATACACAACTAAGCACAGTTTGAAAAGATATTGGCAATATTAGCACATCTATATTCCCCACTCTGTTATGTAAGAAAATACACCAAAACAAATAAAGCAAATGTATTATTCACCTGCATCAAAGCTGGAATAGACAATTGGAATTTTGAAAGAAACAGTGAAAGGTCATCAGCCACACATCAGGGCTTTCAAGCAGGTCAAATATCAGTGGGAAAGTGAACATCTCTGTCTGGTACCTTCTCCCAAGTAAAAAGGAATCCATTAGGTCTTACTCTAGTTCTTGTTGTTGACTACAGAATTTTGATCCATTTCAGAAGTCCTATAGGGAAGTCAAAATTTTTCAGCATAGCTAAAATAAATCTTCAGTAACTTTTGGCAAAAGCTTTTTCTACATTCAGAGAAACATTAGCAGCTTTTTTGGTTCTATCCATAATGAGTGCTAATCAGGACAAAAATCAATCAAGATTATCTACTCTCTGTGTATTTTTGATAAATCCCTCCAGGTCTGGTAGGACTAAAGCTTGATTGTATTACTGTTGTAATAACTTGTTGCAATCTATTGGCCAAGATTGCTGCTAATATTTTAATGGCAACTTTGGGTAATGAAATAGGTTGATAATTAGCACAATAGAAGTGAACCTATCAGGCTTCGCAATCACAGTAACATATACTCCATTGAGTGCTAACAAAATAAATCCCAATACAGTAATGAAATTGTATAAACAATCAAGCTTTAGAGATAGAAAAGCTGGAAAATGTTTTAGATCAGTCAACTGGAAATCCATCCAGCCTGGGTGATTTCCCAGATTTCATATTAGTTACTGCATTTATGGTTTTCTCAATATTCAGAGCTGCCGGAAGGGCTACCTCTGTAAGGAGTTTAATGAAAGAAGACTGACATGAGAGAAAAAAGCATCCATTGCCTGCATCAGTATTTCACTACCTTTGCTCTACAGTTCTGAGTACAATATTAAAAATTGAGAATTTATATCTTCAGGAGAAATATATTGCTTGCCACTTGCATATTTAATAGCCAGGGCAATATTTCACTATTTTTACTGCTTGAGCTGATGAGCCAAAATCATACTAGGATCTTCACCATTTCCCCAATACGCCGTCATAAACAGTTGAAAGCAAATTCTGGCTTCTGTGAGAGAATATTATTCAGCTCGTGTCTGATGTGTGCAACTCCTGATAAAGTTGTGCAGATGGAGACGTGACAAATGTGCGATAAGATTTTTCAGTCTTTCCCTTAAGGCTGTTGTTGCTTTTTAAAAATATAGCCTGATTTAGCTGAACCTTGAATCCAGAAAGATTTGAACTTGCAGAGTTGATTCCAACTAGTTAACTTGTGTTTCAGTTATTGTAGTGCTGTAGGGAATGCAATTCTTTCTGAGGCTTTAAATGCATAATCTTGAAGGCTCCTGGGACTATATCAAATGTCAGTTATTCCCTTAACTTGCTGACATGTGGCTGAGAAAATGTACTGCTGCACAAGCTGTAACATTATTCCCAGTCTGTGCCTTTCTGTGTTTTTAATCCTACTAGAATAAATAAGAAAAATACATTCAGAGGTTTTTTTTATCCTAGTACTGTGTTCATACAATAGCACTTACTGTAGAATGAACTGCTACGACCTAATAAACTGCTGTTATGCAGAAATATGTAAAGGAAACCACTCTTTTATTACTTCCATGTTATTACTTCTTAGATATTCCTTCAGCTGTTTGCCTGAATTCACTCCAGGGACTAATGCTTCAAAAGCTGCTGGCATTGGCCCAAATAGGTCACATTCAGCAATTTTTAAACAAATCCCACTGCGCTTGCCACAAACCACAATTCTGCGGAGTACAAAACGTAATTGACCCAACATAACACAAACATTGATCTCCCACAATGTAAAAACCTATAAACAGCAGCAAAATGTGCAATCTTAGTTTCATGTGATACTGAACGTGTTGCTATAAAATACGCCCTTTCTGCACACATTGCCAGATGCCTTAATCCAGAAACTCCCTTCAGACATGATAAAAAATGTTATTTGTGTAAGACACCCGGAAATGAGCACAAAGATGATATAGTGGTAAATGCATATCTCCATTTTAAAGCATATGAAAACTCAAATCTTCATGTGAGATCCTTTTTAGATACATGTTTCTCTGGACTGAGCCTATTTTCTTAAGTCTTATAAAAGAAACAAATTGTAGTCAGAGTAGGTACAGTGGGTGTAGTACTACCCAGAGTAGTGCATTCTGTACTCCGGGTAGTACTGCACAAATACTGTAATGCATACTATAAAACACATGCTGAATTGAGGTGTGAAGTACCTGTGATTTAATTTGGATATGACTGGGTTTTTAGCAAAATATCCTCTACCAGCTGTATCACCTTTCTTTTCAGGAATGACAATCAACATACTGCACTAAGAATTTATACTGACTGCATGATTATACAGGGCTTAGTATGGTTCCACCTCCCCATTCAGTGTGTGGAAACACTATGCACAGATTCCTAAGCCAATATTTATCTGAATTGCATATCAGATTATTTTTGATTAAAAGTGATATCAGGTTAATTTTCACAGGCCTCTGCTTTCTTACCTTAGGTTCAGGCTGCAATCCTATATTCCCATGCCTTGTTCTGGTAGGGCAGCACCATTGCACTCAGCAAGGCTTGACATGTGTAGAATTGTGCTGTCATTTTTTTATTTTAGCACTAAGATATATCACACACACAAACACACACATAAATCATAATTCTTTAGGCAATATAGCTTTTTTTATCACCAAACTTATTTTTAAATAATGGGGGACTAAAATCAATAAAAAACTTGCAAGCTTGTAAATAATAGCCAGTATCTCTTGTTACAGCTCTGCTTTATAAAGTAACAGCCCAATTCTATACGTGTTTACTCAGAAGCAGGTCCCATTGGGTGAACAGGAAGGATAAGATTGCTGCCTAAACCATCACTGTTACAGGTGAAAAACAACTAGCAAAAGCATTTCCTTCCAGAAAGCAGCTTTTAGAGACCAAGAAAGTATAGCATTTCTTTTATCATGAGCAGGGTTAATGACATCTCTGAGAGTGGAATGAATAATAAAGCTTATTACTTATCTTCAAAGGTGGATCATGCTTAACAGCTGTATAACAGGGGGGTTTCAAGTGAAATGGCAGCAGGTGGGATGAATTGCTAACCCCTACATCTGTTTTCCCCTGCCCTGCCACCTCAGCTATTTTCCTCTTAGGTGGGCTCCAAGATCAGAAAAAAGACTACTGCCTGTGGAGTTCAGCACCTCATCTCATTTGTTGCTTTTCCCTTGAAATCCCCCCATCTACATGCTTTTGACTTAAGAACTTCTCTCCATCTATTGCTTCCCACTTGAAATGATTCCCCATGCATCTACTTCTCACTGGACAGCCTTCTTCTACCCACTGCTTCTCACTCGGAATCCTCCCCGTCTCCACCTGCTCTACTGTATACTTCCCAGGGCTATCTAGCATTAGTGCATTTCATATGTATAAAGTAGTAGGAACAAATGCACTAAGAGGCACAATTCTTTGTCTTGTAATTTTCTTATCCAGTGCCTATATCCACTTGTAATGGCTTTGATGGTGCTGTTCCAAGAGGTTACAGAACACCACTAGGAAAACAAGTCTGCTTTGTTGCTACTGTTCGGCTGGCAACGCCTCAGTTTTTAAAGGCAAGTGTGTATGTCTTAGAGTCTGTTAAGTTTTAGCCATAATATCAGTGCGTTCAGTCACTAACTTCCCAGTTCTGACCATGTACAAGTCAAGAAAATGGATGCAGCCTGTGCCTTCTCCAAAAACAAATGGCTTCCAGATAACATGCATATATGTACTATCTCTTTAGAACATTTGGGGATGATGCATTGACTGTATGTATGATGCTGAACTTTGTGAAAGTAACAAATTCCACAGCAGAAATGTGCATAGCTGGAGGAACCATGAGTTGATGCCACTAATTTCTCAAGTTACTATCTGCAGATATCCTCCCACATTACCACAGTGCAAATGTTGTTAGGAATATGTGGCTCTTCCCATTATAAGCTGCTATTTAATCCAGTTGATTTAGTACTTATCCAAATTGTTTGCAGATATAGGAATGAATTGATCATTTCAAGTCTGCAAAACCCCCAAACCTAGAATAAAATAGGCTAGTCCACATGCTAAAATAGTCACAGGGATACCTCGTAAAGGAGCCTCCATGTGCAAAAGAGGCTTCTGCTTCAGTAGCAATAGTTAAGAGTGCTTTTCACGGGAATTGCCAATATTGTCTACAGTGCTTGTACCTCTCCCAAAACCTGCCAGGTCCAGAGACTCTCAACATGATGGTTCCAATCTGTGATTTGAACTCTTTTAATTTCAACTGGAGTGAACTTCACTCAGCAGGAGGTGGCTTTCAACAGTATCCATCTAACATGTAAAACATGTAGTTATTCTTTGTGGGGCAGTGGTAAACATAAAATGCATTAATTAAATCACCAATAGTAGCACAATTTGAAAAAAAGAATTCAATACTGTATGCAGAATGTAAACATATCATTTAATCATTTCACAGGGGTCGTGTGCTATCATTTTATTATGCAGAATAATAAGCCTGGCATCAGTTAAACGTAATATAAACCAGATGGAGTTGGTATCTCACTGTTTATTAGTTGGATGCATTTTTTAATCCTCTGTTTTGATTCCTGCTGCATGTTTTTCATTGACATTTTTAAAAAGGCAGATGGAATGGAGATAAGGCACTGGTCTCACTAACAGAATTCAATTCTAATACAGGAAATGTGCACAGTTGAAGAACCGTTGGAGGAATTTACTTCGAGACATAGTTTGGAATGGAAATTTTTATTTCTGGATCACAGGTTGGTGAAAAGAGAAGAATATATTTAATGATTCCATGAGTATTTGCTACTGTTCTTGTAAACTAGTTAATGCTATTCTATGCTTGATGGTCAATATTTGTATGATGGTAGGGAACCAAGTGCAACTTTTACCAAGTTCAACATTTTTTCTTAGCATTCATTTTCATAAAAGTTGAGGATATGTGAATTATAAAAAGAAGTGTATGCTTTTTTATATATTTTTAAACAATTGAAGAGCTCCTCCAAAAGGTATTCGAGTCTGACAGTTTAGGGAACAGAGTTTTAGTACTTCCTTGAAGAAGTGCTGAAATAAGCAGAAATTCTTATTTCTGGATTAGGTCAGGTTGGTGCAGCTGCCTTATGTAAGCTCTGCTAAAATGTCTCATTCCAGAAACAAGCATTTCTGCTCATTTCAGGTTGCCCCTGGAAATGACAAGCTCTGGATTCCACAAGCACTGAGCACCACTAGCAGAAAGGAAATGGCTGTATATAAAAGAATCAACAGGAGTGTAAGTGCCCTGTTGGATACTGCCCAGTATAATAAAACAAAGCAATTTGACTCTGTTGGATATCTGGAAGGAGACAATCCATGTATGTAAGAAACGTACATATTTCTACAATGCAATATCATTGTTGTAAGGGTATTTTCAGATATAGGAGAATATTGCATAGGGTAGGATTCCCATTACCTTGGCAAATGCATTTCCCCAAAAAACATGAATGCAGGAGGGTAGGAGTCTTTGTAAAAGAAAATAGGGGGTAGTACCTGCCACTTACTTGCTGGGTTTATTTTTGGCCTTCAAAACTTGGCTGAAGGAAAAAACCCTATTAACTGGCGTGAGGAAACCATTTGCAGGGAATATTGGTGTGCAGGATAAGGTGTTAGATAATCTTCCTTCCTACTTGTTCTTCTCTGCACATTCCCTTTGAAAAAGTGTCTTCCACAAATCATGGTAGCCAGTTTGTCTTTCCCACCCAGCCCCATTTAAGGTTCCTGCTGGACCCCACCGAGGGTTGAGAGATCTTCCAGAATAGACTAGGAAATGGCTGCACTAGGTGTGTGGGGAAAACCATTTACCCTGACCTGCATGAGCAGAACATTGGATACAACCAGAATTCCCTAACATGTGTTTCTGTCTTAATGCACAGGCCATTCTTACAATCTGTTAAAGTCTTTAAGTCAGGAGTCACTTTTATTTTCTGTTACTATATATTTCTTAGCATTCTTTGCTTCCTTTTATAGGGATACCTTGAGGTCATCGTACATCTTTATTGGATGTAATGCTAAGTGGCTACTAATTATGACAGTGAGCCTAAATTTTCTTTGGGCTCAGATACTCCTCCTCCTCCTCCTCTCTAACCTAATAGAGCTGCAAGAAGAAGCTTCTTTAACTTTGCTACATCATCCAAACCTGGACACACTAGGATTAATTTTATGGGCGGTTTGTAGAAACAAGTCAACTTTAAGTCATGATTTGTTTGTATTAACCGTAGTTAAGATGATCCACACACTAAGCTGTGGCTATTTTAAAGGAGAAGCAGAAGCTTCCACGCCCATCCTCCCTTCTTCCTCAAAACACTCCCTTGTTTTGATGTTGAATCTGAATGCTTCTCCACTTCAGCCCTATAGCAAATGTCAGAGGTGTAACCTGAAAAGGGCAAGCACATCATAATAGTGATGATGATGATAATTTCTTAGGCACCTCTCTCGGCAAAAGAAAAGAACTTCAGGACATCTTACTGCAAGGATTAACATATACAATGTTGAAAAGCAATTTAAAACTCCAAAAATAATTAACAATAAAAGACAAGACTCAGTAAAATAACTAAATTAAGAAGTTCACTATATGCCATCAAATGCCTGGGAGTAGAGGAAATACTTGTCCTAGTGCCAAAAAGATGACACCTGGCAGCTCTCACTGGAACGAGCATTGGAAAATCCCACAGATTTCTGGGCAGGAGGGAAAGATGCATATGCGTAACCGTCTCGGTAGGATAGATGGAATTCAAAATACTTAACTTTAGAGGGATGGTGTTCTTTTTTATACTTTTTCAGCAAGGGTTTCCTTTCAATATATTTTAGATGTTCGGAACCTACACATAAGAGAGTGCTTCCCCTTTCCTCGTCCATTATTTTTCTGATCCAAATTGTTTCTGTCTACCCAGCAGTGTTCTTTCCATGAGGTTTCAGTCTCATATTTATTTTTACAAAGATATACCTGAAACCCTGTGGAGGAAATTGCTCTTGAGGCGATTTGAAGCAGAGAAATACTGAATGGGGAAATAAGTTAGGGCTTTATCCACATTGCTTCTCTCCTCTAAATTATGTTCTCTTAAAATAGGTCATGTTAAAAATGACTTGGAATTCTTTTACACTTGCTAACAAGTTAGCTTCTGAAGCAAATTTTGGGTGATCACCACTATATCTCTAAGGCAGAAGCTCTTTCTTTACTGCACAGTAATAATCTGTACACTGCTTAATGACATAATGAATGTTTCTACTCAGGTCACTAGTATTCCCAGTGGAACTAGCTGCACTAGTCTGTGACCACTTGCAGTTTGTTTTTGAGAAGCCCTGGGAATTCCATTCATTCCTTTTTCCTTGCAAAGGTTTGTGGCAGGATTCTCTTCACCAAACACCAACATGGAGAAATGCACAAAGGAACCTGCCTTTTACCAAGTTAGGCCATAGATCCATCTGGATGAGGCTTGTCTGCTACACTGACTGAAAATAGCTTCACACAGGAATGTTTCACATCCCCACTTGTCCCTCCGTCTGGGGCTGAACCTATGGAAAGCATGTAGTCTACCAAGGGCTATAGCCTCTTACCAAGCTCATAACAGATTATCCAACATCGTTCATACTACCGTGTGCATCAGCAGAGAAAGAAATGTTAGAAATGCAATGAGCAGGGAAAGAGTTAAACATCTCTTATTCCTTCCTACTGGTTTTTTACATGCTGTAGGTTTCAAGACTTGCCTCTCATGCAACTAAGATTAATCTGTTTGTTATAAGCAGTGTGTCTTGTCCTTTCCCCACTTCAACAGTTATTAATAGCCTTCTTACAATTATGAGGAGCCTTCTTGCTGTGATGTACTTTGAGACTTAGCCACTTTAAAACATACATTGCATATTTTTCTAAGTCATTGCAGCAGTTGTTGTAGCAGCTGCAATTAAGCTGTTGTTGTTGTTGGTTTCTATACTATACAGTAGCAAAAGCTCTCTGCTACATTGCACTATCTTGTCTTTTAATACTCTTAAGCCAGTAATTAAAAGAAAATCTACAAAAGATTTATTCTTCTTGCTAGAAGACATGTCTGGTGGCTTGTGTGTTTGTGGTTATGAATTAATTACTTCCGTCGCTCTCCAGAGCTGCTTTACTTGCACCTTTTGTTTTTCTACTTTTCTTCATTTATTTTCAAGCATTTAAAACAAGCACAGTTTGGCAAGGTGTGCACAAGAGGTCTTGTCTCCTGTTCAGCTCTTGTAATGCAGAATGGGTTGGATTCAATGCTGGCTGTCCACTGGAAGAACAGATTTCCAGTGGGGAAGAAAATATGGGGAATTCCTGGGACATGAGCAGATGTGACTTGGTAGTCACAAATAGTTTCTCACTTGTAGTCATAAAAAATGTCAGCCTTTTTGAGGAGGCTGGAAGTGCTGCTGTTGTTATTTTTAATTGTCTGATATAATTATCTGTATTTGGTCTTGATACAGAGCACCACCAATTATAGGATATTTGCCTTTTGAAGTGCTGGGGACTTCTGGGTATGATTACTATCATATAGATGACTTACAGCTCTTAGCACGATGCCATGAACATTGTGAGTATCATATTATAGTTATTCAGTGAAATGTGCGGTAGTAGTTTGTGTGGTAGCAAAGATGGGAGTAAAATCTAAAGTCCAATTAGATTAAACAGGATCGGCCCCAGGACAGAGCCCTGGGGGACCCCGCTTGTCACTGGCTGCCATCCCGATGATTCCCCACTAATGGTTACTCTCTGCTTTCGGTCAGTCAACCATGCCCTAATCACCGGACAGCGCTTTGGTGTATCCCAAAACTCCTCAGTTTCTCCACCAGGATATCATGGGGCACTTTGTCAAAGGCCTTGCTGAAATCCAGGTATACCACATCCACTGCATCCCCTCCATCTAGCCATCTAGAACTCCACAAGGTTTGTCTGGCAGAACCTGTTTTTGCAGAAGCTGTGTTGTGTAGCTGTCAGCCTCCCTTCCCTATCTAGCATCACTAGATCTCTCTCTATTATGAGCTTTTCCATTCTTTTTCCTACAATGGACGTAAGGCTAACAGGTCTGTAATTCCCCATGTCCCTTCTACTACCCTTTTTGAAAATTGGGACCACTGACGCCACCCTCCAGTCCTCTGGAACGTCACCCGTTCTCCACGAGGCCTCAAAAATGGAGGCCAGCGGGTGTGAGAGAACCCCGGCCAACTCTCTAACTACTCTGGTGTAATCCGTCAGGGTCTGGCACCTTTGTAATGTCCAATGCCCTGAGGAGCCCCTGGACTTCTAGAGGGGTGACTCTAATCTGTGACCCTAAGTCCCTGGTCTCATCTAATCTATGTGGATCTCCCCTGTCCAGCTTTGGGGAGAACACAGAGGCAAAATAGTCATTTAGCATCTGTGCCTGTTCCCTCATATCAGTCACTGGATCTCCTTCCTCCTTATTTAGTGGTCCCACCACTTGTCTCCCCTTCCTCTTCCTATTTACATGCTGAAAGAAGCCCTTTTTGTTGCTCTTGATATTCGTGGCAAGTCTCAGCTCGTAATCATCCTTAGCCTTGCAAAGAATCCTTCTGCAACAGGCCTCCTCCTCCCTGTATACCCTTTTGTCTATTTGCCCCAGTACCCTTTTCCTACGGAGGTTCCTCTTTCATCTAATCCCTCTAACCACCTCCTTTCACATCCATGGCGGCGCTCTCCTCTGCCTCCCCACCTTACTAACTAGAGGTATCGTCAAGGCTTGCGCCTCCAAAACCTCCCTTTTGAGTGCCATCCACCCCTCCTCAACTCGCTTACCTTCCAGTAACCTGTCCCAGGAGACTTTCCCCAGTCTGGCCTTCAGTTGGCCCTCTTGAAGTCCCAGCTTCTAGTGTTCGACCTGCTGCACGTTCCCAGTCCCCTCATCTCAAAGTAAAGGATGGAGTGATCACTTGCATCCAGAGCTCCCCTAATCTGTACTTCACCTATCAGCTCCTCTCTATTGGTCAAGACCAAGTCAAGGATGTTCCTGCCCCTCTCGGACCTTCTGTGTGAAAAACCCTCCCTCTATAGCTTCTCGGAAGCAACGTGACCTGGCTGTCACCGCCAAGTGAGTCTCCCAACTAATATCCAGGAGATTGAAATCTCCCATAATTACTGTGTCTCTCCCCCGAGATATTCTTAGAATCTGGTCAGTCAGGACATCATCCAGGGTCTCAAGTTGACCTGGAGGGCGATAACATACCCCCACTGTCAGGTCTCTTTCCCTGTCAAAACCCCTAAGTTTCACCCAGACTGCCTCTATCGAATCCCCATCTGTGCTGCATTCTATCTCACTGCATCCTATCCCTTCCCTGACATATAAAGCCATGCCCCCATCCCTCTTTCCCTTCCTGTCCTTTCTAAAAAGGTGATACCCCTCTATGTTCACTTTCCAGTCTTGCCTTTCATTGCACCAAGTGTCAGTCCCTGCAGTACCTCTAAAATGCTGCTCCCAGAGCCCTGATCCTCCCCCCACACTTGTCCAGTGCAGACATGTTTCTGGGGGGCCTGAAACTACCCCCTGCCCGACTCAGTTTAAAGTCTTCCGGACGAAGCTCGCTAGAGCATCTCCAAAGAACCTTTTCCCCATCCTCGTGAGGTGCGACCCATCCCTTGCCAGAAGTCCATTGGCAAGAAACCGGGTGCCATGGTTGAAGAACCCGAAGTGTTCCTTCTGGCACCACACCCTAAGCCAGTCATTCACCTCGGAGACCCTCCTGTCCCTTCCTGGCCCAAATCCCCGGACTGGTAAGCTCCCTGAGTTTCTTCCCCAAGACCTCGAAGTCCCTGGTGATCCCGACCACACCCTGCCTGGCCACATCATTTGTGCCCACATGGATCACCAGGAGTGGCCGGTGACCCCCGGAGTGAACAAGATGCTCCACTCTGTCCTTCACATGCCGGATGTGTGCACCCGGCAGGCAGCAATCCTCCCTTGTTTCCAGGTTGGGGTGGCACACCACCGCCTCAGTGCCCCTCAGCAGGGAGTCCCCAGCAACAATCACCTGCCACTGTGTCTTTCTGGTGGTGGTGGGTGGCCGTGCCCTGGCCCTCACCTCTCCTGCAGCGGCCCCCTTGCCGCTTGTGGTCCCAGGCTGGGGGTCCTGCTGGTCCCCTGAGGCCTTATCAGCCCCAGCCTCCCCAGGTGGAGAGAACCTGTTTCCCAGCTCCAGATTGGTGCCAGGAGGAGGAGGAGGCCGTGCTGGGTGACATATCTCCATGTCTCCCTGGATGCTCCTCCCTTGGCCTCTCCTTCAACCCTCTGTCCAGAGGGGGGCTGCTCCTGGGGGGCCTGGAGAGCTCTCTTGGCCCTCAGGCATTGCAACTCCTCCTCTAGCAGGACCACCAGCTTGCACCAAGGGCAAGTGTAACCCTGCCTCTCCTGGGGGAGAAGGGTGAACATGTTGCAGCAACACCTGTGACTCCTGCCAAGGCCATCTCCTGGTCTGCCATTGGGAACTCTTTCAAGGCCCTACCTTGGTCCCCTGCCTTGTCTGTCCTGCAATACCCCTCACTCACCCAGTTCTCCTGAAAAAAACCTCTCACACACACACGGATAAAATAAAATTTAAATTGGAGGAAAAACAAAGCACAGCACAGCACCAAAAAACAAAACAAAACAAAAACAAAGAAAAACAAAGCAATAAAACGAAAAACAATAAAACAAACAACCCCCCCCCCCAAACCCTCAGCCTCTCAGGGAAGGGAGTCCGTGGGCAGCCTGAGCCTCAGCTAAGGGACGCAGACAAGGGACGACGCCAAGAGGCCAGAGCCAAAGGGGCTGGCAGTGGCTGAGCGCAGCCTTATTAGTCTCTCAGGCCGGTGGCCCCGCCTGTCCGCTTCCTCCTGGCCACTCTAGCCACTCTGGCCCCGCCCCCTTCCTCTCCGCTGCTCCTGGCCCTCTGCTCCCCTGCCCATCTCCTCCCTTGCCTTCGCCAGTCCCCCGGCCACTCAGCCCTCTCTCCCAGCCTGTGCCTCTGCTGCTCTGCCAAGAGGCCAGAGCCAAAAAGGGTGGCAGTGGCTGAGGCAGCCTTATCAGTCCCTCAGGCCGATGGCCCCGCTGAATATGATGAAGCCTCATGCAAACAAATGGTTCAGGGTTGTGTGCGTGTGTTGATACTGCTTATGTGAACACACATTTCTCCACATTCAGAAGGAAAAGTCTTGTATACTTTTTTTTTAATAGTTTGCTGGGAAATCTCCTAGGGATCTAGAATTCTGTTACAATATGACAAGCATGCAATTTTTCTGTCCACAAATAGTGATGCAGTTTGGCAAAGGGAAGTCCTGCTGTTACCGGTTTCTGACCAAAGGACAGCAGTGGATCTGGCTGCAAACACATTACTATATCACCTACCACCAGTGGAACTCCAAGCCAGAATTCATCGTATGCACCCACACAGTAGTAAGGTATGGGAAATGCCACTGCTGTTGTAGCAATCGGTAAGGTTCTCCAGTGCAGAACAGGCCTAAATAAAAATGGGTTAAGGGATGCAAACAGTACAGCTGTGTCTTCCTGCTCTCTTATCACATGAAAAGAAACAGCCAACAAATTCTTAGCTTTGGGAGACTGAACTCAATGCAAGGGAAGGATGTGTTCATTCTCTCTGCCATGGAAGTTCCAAATCCTAGTTCATACATGAAAACATGGTGGCTGCTTTTATTAATTTGGTTTATACCTCACCTTTTGATTTTTATTCATTTGATTTATACTTACCAAGGAAATGGTACTCTGGGAAGCTTTATAATGCAGTTTCCCTATGGCAATTGTTTGGGTTTAGTCCCGTCTCAATGGAGTTGCAACAGAAGCCATCTCTGCAATATTTTTTGTTTGTGTGACTTGAGCCATAGAGGAAATCCATATTAGAGCAGACACTAATCATGCCAGACACTTGTGCCTTGTATATAAAAGAACATATCTTTTTGGGATCATAGGAACATGTAGGGTTTGACACCATTGAATTGATGTATTTGGCTGTTCTGGAAGCTGGAAGTAATACCTTACCTATTCAAACATAGGTATTTTGAAATGTAAATTTATGACACACTGTTTTGTTGCAATCATTGAAATTTTGTAGGCATGCTAATTGAACTTTAGAAAAAAATTGTTTACAGCCCTATATCTATATGTTTCAGAGGCAAAGGTACTTTATAATGTATGTAACAGCTAATTTGCTGTTTTTGCTACCATATGCAGTTAGGGTTTGGAGAGATGGCCAATCATGTGCCCTTGCCTGATGTACATGTGACCTCTGTCTGTGGCATACCTATGTTAACATTTTTCTGGAACAAAAAAAGAACATTGGGTAAAAACTAATGTAAATTCTACTTAGAGCAGGGGTCTCAAACTCAACTTACCTGGGGGCCGCTGGAAGTAGAGTCTGGGTGAGGCTGGGCCGCATCAAGTATTCCACCCCCGCGGTGGTGGTGGGCTGCTCATCCCGCGGCTGGCCCGGGCGCCGCTGGCGCTTTGAAGGCCGCAGGGCCCCTCCCCTGTGCCCCGCCCGTCCCGGCAATTGGCTCGCGGGCCGCGAGTTTGAGACCCCTGACTTAGAGTATGCCCACTGAAATGAATAGGATTTAAATTAGGTATGACTAACTCCCATTTATTTTAATGGGGCTATACCAAGTAGGACTTGTATTCAATTTTACTTATAATGTGTAAAGCACCTCCCACTTCCCAGCCTTTTCTGTGGAACCTAGTCCCAGATAAATATGCACAGGATTACAACTAAGGTTTTACTTTTATTTTGCAAATAGATACAAACACATGTAGTTCATTACATTTCTATATACGTACATACATACGTGTAGATTACCTGAGCTGTGGATTTTAATTGCAAAGTAATATTTATTTATTTAGGAGGCTTCTATGCCGCCCCATTTGCTGAAGCCTCGGGGCAGCTCACAATAATAAATAAAAACAATATAATTTTAGTTGACCTGTCCAAAAATAAATAAATAAATAAATAAATAATATTAACAATTAAAATAATGTTTGAATAAAAAGGTCTTCACCTTGCGCCGAAAAACAAATAACAATGGCGCCAGGCAGACCTCTCTGAGGAGCGCATTCCATAGATTGGGCGCCACCACAGAGAAAGCCCTCCTCCGAGTACTTACCCTTCTAATATCCTTCATGAAGGGTTCCTGGAGAAGGACCTCTCCTGCTGATCTCAAGGGGCGGGCAGGCGGGCATATATGGATATAGTTGCTCCTTCAGGTAACCAGGGCCCAAGCTGTTAAGGACTTTATAGATCATAACCAACACCTTGAATTGGGTCCGGACTTCAATGGGGAGCCAGTGAAGCTGACGGAGAACTGGAGTCATGTGAACATAATGCCCAGTCCCCGTCAGCAGCCTGGCAGTTCTATTTGGAACCAATTGAAGTATCCGGACTGTCTTCAAGGGCAGCCCCACGTAGAGCGCGTTACTGAAGTCAAGTCGGGATGTCACCAACGCATGTGTCACTGTCGCCAGGCAGTCATTCTCCAATTAGGGACGCAGCTGATGGATCAGCCGAAGCTGAAAGAAAGCGCTCCTTGCCACCGCTGTCACCTGAGCTTCCAGTGAAAGCTCTGGGTCGAGGAGCACTCCCAAGCTGCAGACCTTGTCCCTAAGAGGGAGTGCAACCCCATTCAGGACTAAGTTCAGGTCCCCTTCCCTGAAGCCCAATCTGCCAAGCAACAGGACCTCTGTCTTGTCTGGATTGAGCTTCAGTTTATTGGTCCTCATCCAGCCAATTACCTCGGCCAGGCACCAGTTCAGTACAGCCACCGCCTCACCTGGATTGGTAGAGAATGAGAGGTAGAGCTGGCTTTCATCAGCATACTGATGATTCCTCAGCCCACACCTCCACTAATACTGAAGTAAATCATGTAATGACCTGGTAGTTACATGTAATGGTGCTGTCAAAATAGTAGAAAGGAATAGTTTTCCAGATAAAATTACGGTGTTCTATTAGTTATGCAGATGTTCGAGTGGAAAGGCGACGAAATCTGGTCTTGCAGGATACACCTTCAGAGATAATTTCTTCAGTACTAAAGGTATGCTGGTTCCTGATTTTATTAATTTCATAAATCAGCTATTACAAAGCATTAAAAGTATGAATAATTTAAGTCATTAACAGAGCACTGTCTTAATGATATGGTGAATTTCTGCCCTCACAATACACAGAAGGGTGGGATCCAAGCCAGGACCTCTGCTCCACCCCAGCTGTGGTGGAAAGCACTTCAGCAGCTTCTCTTCCAAGCCACAACAGCTGTCTCTGAAGAGGGTCAAGTAAGAAGGAAAGGAAAGGGGTATGATGTTGGAAAAAGCCGTCCAGAGACGAAAGTGATGGACGACCTAGAAATATCCAAACAAACAAATAAATAAATGAGAGAGATGAATCCATTGGATCCACAATCCGCTTTATCAACTTTCCTGGATATAGCAAGGGAAGTCAGCTAGACAGGCTGTGAAAATGTTTCTTAAGGTGGAATGCTGCCTCCTACACTGCCTGGCATTTGCTGGCATGGTGTTGATTGGCAGAGCACCGATCCTTCAACATTGTGCTATAAATGTGAATGTAGTATTTTATCTGGCACATCCCATATGTGGGCTTGCCCATTAACCACACATGCTGGTGTTATTGCATGCATGTCCACATCAACAATAACAGCAAGATGATGATGGTGAAGAGGAAGAGGAAGGGGTGTGAGGGGGAGGGGGGAGAAAAGCATGTCTTAATAGAAGCAGACTCTGTGTCTAAGTTTCCATGCAAAATTGACAGCTGTAGGAACATTCAAATGTAGCGTGAATAGTAAGCTCTTCAGTCCAATGACTGATAGGTGGCATTCCTTACTGCATACATCTCTGACAATATGAATATCTTACTTTTGTACATTCCAAAAAATGTTTATAAGCAACTATTGTAGGCTTAAGTTTCTGTAAAGGACCAATTACGTCTTCCAGTGGTGCAGGAAGTGTTAAAGCACTCATTGCTAATGGGCCACAAATATACTGCAACAAATGGTATAACTGAATGTCCTGCCAAGTAGCACTAGCTGGTAAATGATACTTGACCTGCAGTACTGAAAATTATAGAAAATCATTGTCCAATTCTGTTAATTGACCAAAAGTATAAAAACTGAATTCTTTCGAAAGTTAATTTATCAAGAGAATATGAATTGAACTGAAGTTGATGAGCCATTGCATTCCAGGTCTTGGTCATTGTATCAGGGGATCCATTCCTTTCTTTTAAAAATACCTAATCCGGACGTGTCCAACCAAAAAGGTGTCAAATACTTTAACTCCAAAAAAACCCATGGAGGAATACTTACAGGAAGAAAGATGTTTACCAGCCATTAGTGTGCGGGCTAACAAATAAGCTTTATGATATAAACTGAAATCTGGAAAATGAAATCCTTCTTTAACTGACGGCTGCATCCTCATCAATGGAAAACAGAACAAAACTGAAATGCTCTATATTTTCTCCAATATATATTTGTGGAATGCATAAAGGAACACCACACAATACCTATGGAAGGAAGTTAATCTTAAATATTTTAACCTTACCCCAAGTGTTTACGTGATGCTTATCTTTCCAAGTCAAGAGATAGTTTTTCCATCCAGTTTAACCTTTGTGAGTAATCTCTTAGCACCAGTTTACCAAGATATGTAATCACTTTGCACCATGAACATTTAGTAAATAATTTGGGTATCTTCATACCTACAAGCATTAGTTCAGATTTTGACCAATTAATAGCATGACCCAAGAAGTATAGCAAAGGCATCAAACTTACTAATTTTAGTACAGAATATTCTAACCTCCTGATAAATAGCAACAAATCATCTACATATAAAGCCATTTTATACTCAGTGAGCTCATGCACAAGCTTAATTGCAGATGCGTAGGGTTCCAAGCCAAATCAAATATCAAGGGGAATGCTACTCTCCATTTATTGATGATTTGTACTTGGGATAATTAAACACTGGAATTGATCATATTCTTGACAGTTGTAACTGGTAACTCTCATTCCATATGCTTTGTGGTCAATTGTGTATGTGACTTGTCCATGGAGAAAGAGAAGTCAAGATTATATAAACACAATGGATGAAGCCGCCTTTCAGAAGTGCAGCCCTACATGTTCAGTTATTAACTTGTAGTGACTGGGAGTGCAGCAGTGGCAGACTGCACCTATACACCTTTTGATGCTCATCTAAAATGGGCCATGCAATGTACTTGTAAGCACATAAATTCCTCTGGACCTTACTGAGGACGCTTTATAGCATTCCCAGTCACAAGGAAAGATGCCTGTGCTTGTACATCCTGCAGGCATTTTGCAAATCTGCATTGTAAAGGGCATTGTGTAGGGAGACAGACCCTGCTACCAAGATAACCTCCCCCCTCATTGGTATTCCTTGACCACATGAAAGCCCAGGTGCAACTTTGGAATTGAGTTCAAGGTATGTACTGAAGTCTATAAAGATGATCCTCTTTAGCTATATCATACATGTAATTAAAACTGCAATCCTAATTCTATGAACTGGGAAGTAATCCCCATTGAACTCAGTGGGACTTCTAAGTAATTATGCTTTGGATTGGATTGTGAATAGTTAAGATTAAAAATATCTCTTCTTGAGGTTTTTAAGAACACTCATGCTTAAGTCTGAAACTATCAGAAACATATAAGCTGCGATATAACATTTACTTTCTTTTTAAGGACAGTGGCTCAGATTTGGATCCTCAACAGCACTTTAACACACTTGAATTAGGTGCATCGCTTCTCAACAGCACCCGGACGCTTTCTGTGTCCTCTCAAGGCTCACCCAAATCTTTGCCTACATCCTTACCTGACTCAGCGTGTAAGTTGTGGCTTCTGTGTAAATACTATTAAATGTACAACTTTACTGTATGTTGCAATATAGGTCAGAATGTAAATCATAAACTTACACGGGCCTACTCACATAAAGATAATGGGCTGGTTTGGATGATTTTAACAAGCCACAGGGCACTGATTAAGCTGTGGTGCGTGCCAGGCACAATTGGGATAATCCCCACCTGGGCATGTCTTGCCATGCCATCTGAACCTGGATGACATGGTTTGTTGGAGAGTTAAACAACCCTCAGGTAACTCAACAACAATCTATGTGTTGTCTCTGCAAATGCCTTAAAACTGTAGCTGAGATTTGTTTACACTAAAACAGACCAGAGGATATATTATTGGTTCATGCAAACAGATGTAAATAAACCACATGCATCTTAACTACTTCCCAGCATGGGATTTGCATGTGCAATTGGTCCTCCCTCTGACTCCTGTTTATATCTGGCTGGAGAATTAATTAAGGAATCTACATCATTTTTGTTTTTATAATTACTTGTGTCTTCCTGGATAATGAAAGCAAAACCTCCCACTAAATAGAGAGTGAACTTTGTTTTTTAAGCTAATTCTTGAAGACTTTAAAGAGACACATGTCCTTTAGACCTCTTATCAGCCCGGGCTGCAACAAGATCTATTTAAAGAAGATGCCTATGTACTTAAAAGACACAGTGCAAGCAGCAGGGGTTTCGCATTTATTTATTTTCTTGGCTGTCACACAGCTGGAGATCAATCTGTTGTTCAGTTGTCTCTTAAGCAATGGAAACTGCTGCAGTGAAAATAGCAAGAAAAGCTGTGATTGTACATGCAGTTCCCTACATGGGCACGTCCCTTTTTTGACCCCAACACATCTCAGCTGCAAAGAGAAGGCACTTAAACAAAAGAATGCCTTGCTCTTAGTTCAGCACTAAAGGATACTTTGAAAAAGCAGAGTGTGGCACTGGAGAATCCTCCTGTGATGACTTTAATAATGCATTTGCCCTGTAAGAAATTCAAAGAGGCAGGGATAAGTGTGGGGAAACAAAGCTCAGGATTCAAATCCAATATTGTGAGTTTCTTCCCCACTATCTTTGTCTAGTTCTACTGATTAGCTATTTTTTGTGTATTCTGAGGATAGGCAGCCAGGTGCCCTCCTTATGTTTTGAAGTACAACTCTATAATCCCTGGTCCTGGTTGGGGCTGATGAAGGTTGTATTCAAAAACATTGAGAGGGTATCAGTTTGTCGGTTCTGCTGTATTTGTTTTGTAACTGGCTTCCCCTTATATGACACACTACAGAATTGATACAGTAGAGCTGGCAACCTGGTCCCCTCCAAATGTTTTGGACTAAAAATCCTACCAACCCCAGCTTTGTAGATAGTACAATGATTCCATGCTTTGTGTATATATTATTAAGAACTGTAATAACTCTAGTTTAAATGGTAGCCATTTGGTAAACATATTTTACTAAAATAATTATTGCCCTACAGCCACAACAACAAAACTCTTGCCAGAGCCTCCCCCTTTGCAACAAACCCCCACCATGGAGCAGGATCTACCAATTCAAAAATCCAGTCAACCTGCCACTGCTCAGGTAAGTCTTAAAAAAGGTTCTTCAAAGTGGACAGAAGTATATCCATAGAAATTTCATAAGCTAGATGTGAATACACATCTGTACAAACCAAGGGAAAACATTATTACATTGCATTTATACAGTGCCTTGTTTTTTCTTGCAAAGACCCAAAGGCAGCTTAGATAATTCTCCCCCACTCCATTTTTATCCGAACAACTTTGTGAGGTAGATTAGGCTGCAAATCCATTACTGGCCCTAAGTAACCCAGTATTGGGAATGAAAGAGGCCAGGGAGTCTTCGGATGAGGATGGTGAGGCCTGGGAAGTGAGGTCTGCAGACACAGGGAGGGCAGAGGAGGAAGAGCTTATCTCAAGGCTGCCGTCTTCAGGTGTTCAGGCAGACTCTGAGAATCGACAGAGTCTGGAAGTGCCAGGAGGAGACGTAAGTCTGAACCCTGACCCCATGATGCAGTGTCAGGAGAGAAGGATTAGCCAACTAGAGAGCCTGCATAGATCTAGGAGGCTAGCCCATTTCCAGAGGAGCATTGCTATATCTATTTTGTGAATTTTACATTCATGTTTTAAGCTGCTATGCTTTGTCCATGTTATACTATTGTATTATTTTATGCAACTATTTATTTCATTGTTGGTTTTAGTGGAAACTAGAGAGCCCTAACAGGGCTATAGGTGTGGATTATAAATTTAAACAAACGAACGAACATTTTCTAATTATAATTTATTTTGCGCATGGCTTGCTGAGACCAATTCAAAGTCAAAGCCCAGTTCGGACCTTAGTAAGAAGTTCTAAACAGGGGAAGATGGAACTCAGCAACCCAACCTGAGGTTCATGTGTCTAGCAATGCTGTTATTTTGGTGCTTTTTCATCAGTAAGGGCTATCTAATTTTAGATAATAATTTAAAAAACAAAATACACCTTCACTTCCTAATAACTGATGATATAACATTGCAATATCCTGGAGGGGAAATCTTTAAGAACCAAAATTCTAGTGAAGTTGCCTGAATTTTATAACAAATGAAAAAGGTTTGTTGGTAACTATACTTGGAAGAAAAGAAAGATGGCTCTTTATTTTCTTTTTTTAAGCTCTCAAACCAGTTTAACATGTTCCAAACCATCAAAGACCAACTTGAGCAGCGGACTCGTATACTGCAAGCCAATATTCAGTGGCAGCAGGAAGAACTGCAAAAGATCCAGGAACAGCTCTGTATGGTACAAGATTCCAACATACAGGTTAGCATGAGTTTACAATGAAGCATGCATTTTTCAGACAAATTGTTCATCCAGTGAGGAGCATTCCTTGACCAGAAACAGATTTCTGTGCATCCTATGCTCATGCACAGTGGGCTAGCACGGCACTTTCAGTCTTCTTTAGGAGTCAGTCCCAGAAAATCCTGTTCGTGAAGTGCACCTTGGCCCCCTGGCATTTGTTCCACAACACTACTTTATCCCTGGCGCTGTTTGATTGCTGTATGAAAGCAAGCCATCTGGCAATTGAAGTGAAATGTCCTCAGTATTTCCTCAGCACCCAGGTCTGTTTTTCTGTAGCGTCTGGATGAGGCTCAGCCCTGCACATTTCTGACTGGTACTTGGATCTGTGGTGGGTTCAGAGTTTGAATTCTGGTCAGATGGAAGCACTTTGGAGGGTGTGTAGGTCACACAGGTCAAAGAAATAAGTCAGTTCCCAGTTCCAGGTGGGGATTGCACTCTCAGCTTCGCCACTTAACTCTCAGGTGGAGTCAGCGCCTAGGAGTGCCTTCCACCAGCCTAGCTTCATACGCCAACTGTAGGTGTCTCTGGATGATGAGAGCTTGGCCACAGTGCTACAAGCATGGTCACCTCAAGACTGAGTTATTGCAATGCACTCTCACTAATGTGCTATCCCTTGGCTTGGTGTGGAAGCTGCAGGTAGTGTAGAATGTGGTGGTAAAGCTGCTAACCAGGGGCTCTTTCTGACAGCAAACTGCACTCTTCCTGAAAGAGCTGCTCTGGCTGCCAAGAAACTACCAGTCCAAATTGAAGATGGTGTTGTTAGCCTGTAGAGCCGTAAACCACTTGGGACTGGGTTATGTTAGGGACTGCCTCACCCCTTTGCTGGCATCCAGCCCCTGCTGTCACCAGGGGGAATACTTCTGGGAATGTCACATGCTCCTGAGTTTTGCACTTGCAGCAGGACATTTAATCTTGTAGTACCCATCCTGGAACACCCCCAGGCAGGACTGCACAGTTCTGATGCTCAGGCATCTTTAAAATCATCCCCTCACATAGGGTTCCTCTGGAGTGTGATGCAGCCAGCTCCAGTCTGCAGCACACCACAGAGTGTGTGGCTTTACTGCTGAGTAGTTTTGTACTGCATTGTTGTATTTATGGCTGTTTTGATGCCACTGGGTTTTATGCCAGTGCTTCAGCACTGCTGTGGAAAGCAGTGTATGCATTTCAGTAATAAATAAATAAAATGGCACCCACTGAGGTCTCCTACCCCTTGTAAATTCCGGAAGGAGGAGGAGGAGGAGGAGGAGGAGGAGGTTTTAATAACTGGAGAACATGGGCTAGAACCAATCTACTTATTACATGGCAATATGGGTAGATGCAGTTTTTTTAGGGCATATCCTCACTATGAGCAACAATAATAACATAACATAAATAAAATAATTTGCGGTGTGCACTTTTTTATTTTCCTGCCCAAGCCTTTTGCCCTTAAATACAGCTAGCACCCATTTTGCCCCTGTGGGGTTCCAGATACATACATACTCTTGTAAGCACCTATTTCGCCCCTCACAGTAGTTCCTAGGAAAGTAGCAGAGGAAGCAACCAGAGGGAACAATTTGACTCAGAAAGTAGAAGTCAAAGAAAGAGTTAACCACAACCAACAATCACCTCTCTGGTCTATTTTCTCCCTCAATGGTGATGCTGTTCCAATAACCATGATGATTTGTGGCAGCGCGTTGTATTTTATTTCTTTCTGGATCCTCAGAACTCCCTGATAATTACAGGTGGAATTCAGAAGTGGATATGAGTGAAGAGACTGGCAAATCAATGCTATTCCTGAAAAGCAGTATTCATCTGCTAACCACCAGTACTATTCCTGTAGCAGATGGATTATGGTGTACATGCAAGTTGCATTTGAACCTCAGACAACAACTTAACCACCTCAAGACCTTTTCCTCGAAATTCAAATTCAAAGAGGAGAAGGATTTTCATTATCCAGTGCTTGTTTTGGAAATTGAGAGATGTAGGGCTTCAACATCTTACGAGTGGTGGGAAGCCCTTTCTATTAGTCACAGATGTAGAAGATAGTTTTGGCAAACACACTTACTCTGTACATACTTGGAAGGAATTTCAAATCTTCTTCCTTTATAGTATCAAGTCCTGATTCCAGAAGCATTTCAGTCCTGGATCAAATTAAGCCTGCTAACTATCTACATTTAGAAAAATAACAATAGATATGACAAGTTGAAATCGATTTTTAAATGAATTATTGCTTGTTTTTTCTGGCCAGAGGATTACAAAAACTTTTTTTTTCTGTTCCAGTTGTTTTTACAACAGCCAACAGCATCTCTGAATTTTAGCAGTATGCAGCAGCCAGAACCTCAGGGGAAGTCTGTGGTTGATTCTCAGCAACAGCAAATAATTCCAAGGCTGCCTCTTCAAGGTCAGGTGGCAGCTTCTCAAACAGTGGACCATCAAATGTTAAGAGAAGAAAATGTGCTATCGAACCAGGTGAGCACACAGCAATCGACAATTGTCCTAAAGTAGTGACCTTCACTATTTTTTAAGCAGAAGCTACTTTGGCTCCTGGTACCTCTTCTTCTGGGGTGCTGGGAACAAAGATACACTTGGGAGTCTGCTCCACTGTGTTTTACTGTCAGAATTCTTGTATTCCATCAATGAGTGGATGTCAGAATCCAAAACATTTGACTGAGAAACTCCGATGGAATGGATTTAATGACATCGGTACATCCCTACTTTACCAGCTCTGACATACCAGTGTAATGAGAAGAAAGTTGTAAAAATAATATTGTTGTGAAATGTACATCTTCCTGCTTTGTACTGCTTTGGCAAATGTGTTGATATGTCTCTTGATCTGTCTCAGTCAGGTACTCTGCACAAGCTAAAAGAGATGAAACAATTGCGCCAGCAGGTGGATAGAATAAGAGGGCAAAAAACAAAATACTGTGCTCTAAGTATAATCAGCTGAGATTCTCCCATGCCCTCATGAAATTAATTTGAGCTAAGCAAGAATACTTCCAAGTGAATTTTGCCCTATATAATAGTACATTTTCATTACAATGTGGTACAAGTGAAATACTACACTTTGTAATACTGTTTCACTCTTTCTAGCTAGTTTTATGTGAATTTACATTTTGTTCCAGTTGTGCAAAATCACCACTGTTGCAAAAGTCTAAAAAAGAGTCTAATTTACAAGATCTGCAGTCTGGGAAAATTGATTTTAAAAACAACTACACCACTTTTAGCATCTAATACATTAATACAATGTATTATTACATTGTGTATACATAATACATATACATAATATATAGTATATATAGAATACAATGTATGGAATTCACTCCCCAAAGAGGTCCGCCTGGCACCGTCGTTACTGGTTTTTCGGCGCCAGGTAAAGACCTTTTTATTTAAACATCATTTTAATTGTTAAAACATATGATCTGGCCAGGACAACTTCTTCTTCCTTCTCTTTTCTCCTCCTATATTTTTATTTACTTATTTTATACTGATAATTTTAATTTTATATTTATAACTCAGTGTATTTTTTGTATTTTTGTATTTAATGGTAATTTATTATGTTCTATTGTATTTCAATGTATTTTATTGTGTTGTAAGCCGCCCCGAGGTTTCGGCAAGGGGCGGCACAGAAATGTAATAATAATAATAATAATAATAATAATAATAATAATAATCATCTTACACAATCACATCACATAGTTGCCCTCTTCAGGGCACAGAATGCACTAAATGTCATTACCATCATTTTAACATCAAGAAGGTTTCTTTGACTATTTAAATGTGAAACAGAACCACCCCCATCCCTGGCTTTCTTAATGGTCAAAGAAAATGTATTTTGCAGCTTGAAGAATCAACAATGCATATCTCTTTCCCAAGACACCAGCTGATTCATAAGTTAGTGCTAAATTTTATGTACTTGCGCAGTGAGCTCAAAACTTTGCAGTTATTGTTGATACTTTAAATAATTGTAGGATAAGGAATCCGGGAGGACCTCCCAAGGGATGCAAAATGGTTGTCCTTCTTCCAGCAACTTAACCTCACAATTTAACAATGCCTCTGTGCTCCCACAATCTTTGAGTTTAGCTCCACCTGCTGTCGTTCTGCAGGATAGCAGCCACCGACATAACACGCCTGACTTCAGTCATGACCAGCAATTGAGGTAAATCAATTGTATTAAACTGCGGACTTAAAAAAAAGTTGTTGTTGCTATCATTTATATAACAGAATCTGTAGCTGCCTGTTTATTACCATGCAACAGATAAAGATCCTGAACATTAAAATGCTTATTTTATTAAGTTGACAGGAAGAGCAGATTGTGGCTTTGACAGAAAAAAAATGGAATGAGAATAGGGAAGAGGTGAATACACTTGCAGGTTATTTATTATTACCTTGACTTTAGTAATCTTTATGTAAAATATAAAGTAGAAAGATAGTCTTGTTTATTTCTTGTATCATCACTTTCAAATGTAATCATTTCATTGTTAAGAAACAATAATAAATTAAAAATAGTAGCTTGAAGTAGAAAGCATACTTTTCCAAGGAAAATAATGTGAATCAAATATATCCTTTCCAAAACAGTTAAATGGCATTACAGATTACCTGTGTATTTTAACTTCCTGTAGTGGAAGAAAAGAAAGCCTTTGTACTATTCCATGTTTGAGACTGAGGAATGGAATGAATGATTTAACATATTTTTTAAAAAATATAATAGCCTGCATTTACTAGCAATCACCAGAATGCAGGTGAATGACTGCTGCTGGGCAGGAATATTTATTGTATGATGATAACCACATCACACTGTGAGAACATGCAAATGTTACAGGTGGGACAGCCATGGCAAATAGTTTGGTTCAGGGGATTTTAGTAACTTCCCATGATAACCACAAGGTGTAGTTCCACTATAAGTCAGGAATGACATCAGTAAGAATGTGCAGAGACTTAAAACATCTGATAATAAGACAGGCATTGCCCTTTATTCTAGAATGAATCTGTCTTTTCCTGAGTCCAGTCCACATCCAACTGTCTTGATTTCTAAGCTCATGGAATAGCCCATTGCCCCTTTTCTGTGTTTTCAAGCTATATGCTGCTTTCATTGGTATTAAATTGGTATTCTTTGATTTCCTGTTTGCCAGACTGTTGCTAAGTCAACCTATTCAACCAATGATGCCTGGTTCCTGCCATGCAAGGCAATCCTCAGATGTTGATGCTGGAAGCCAAGCTAAGTACGTAATATGTTCTGATATGGTGGGAAGATTTTGAAGGTATATTGCTGAGAAGTACAGTTAAACTTGAAACCAAGAAACTACAATTCATCCAGATGTGTACTTGGTCTGAACAGACTATCAGAGTTGAAATAAGGATGGCTTGCTTCACCTTTTGACAATCCAAATGCTATACCTGCCCTATCATATCTTAAAGTTTACATGTCTAGTTCATGCTGAATGTATATCCCAGCTGTCCCATACATTATTTCTGTTCGTCACTGATATCCCATTGAACATCTGCTCCTTAAGAACTGATGGAACAAACAGTATTTGGATTCTTCCATAAGAATATCTGAGGTTTAAGGAAATTTGGGGACTGCTACTTGAAACTGAATCTAAATATTATGCCATAGAGCACCTGCTCACCTGCTTCTTAGTTATCATGTGGCAGTTCATATCCCTTTAATCAATGAATCCACAATTTCTATTGCTAAGATGCCATCACAAATTGTAAGCCACCTGACTCAGCCAAATGGCATGACCGGTTTTAGCATTTTCAACAACCAAAGCAAAAATACTACATTTCTGCAACTTGTGGCTAGCCTTCTCCTGCTCTGCACCATCCCAATCTCTGGTCAATGCCACCTTGTGCTGGGAAGCATTTCCAGGATGACTGCAGGCATGTACACTATGCATAAGGTGTATAGGACATAAATGTACTTAACTATTATTCATTTTCAATTCTTTGAAGGCCATCTGTTATGGATAGAACTCTTCTCAAGGTGGCACAAAACTAACATACTTTATAATTAAATTGTAACATATTTTAATAGAAGATTATTTGTCTTAACAACAGATTCCCTGCTATTTTCCCATAGTAGATAGTGCTATGAAATCAGTGTTTTATTAACAGAGGTTTGGCTGAGAACCTTAAAACTGTTTCTTTTTATAGGTATTCTCAGAGGCTACCGTCATTCCCAAGTTTGGAAGAGCAGGGTTCCAGCAGCAGCGCACCTATCGTGCTGATGGGACAAGCAGTGTTACACCCTGGTTTCCCTGCAGCACAGTCCTCTCAGGCATCACCTTTGCAACCTATGCATCAACAACATCAGCAGCAATGCTATCTTCAGGTGGGCTGGAACAGAACCAACAGTATCTAATGGGTAAGCCGCCCTGAATGTTTTTTAACTGAAGGGGCGGCAAAGGACTCTTCGAGGAGAAAAGTCTTTAAATTATGGCATGATACATAATGTAGCGAAAGGCTTTTAAAAATGGCAGAAATTTGAGCAGCCATTAGCTTATTAGCTTGCTTGCAGGATGAATTGCCATATCAAGAAAACTTGGCCTTGAACAGTTATTAGTCTTGATCATCAGAGAATACTCTCATCAAAACAATATTGTGGTGACTTTCTCACACATCATAAAATTTGCAGCACACTTCTACTTTTTCATACATAGGTGTCAATATCGTATCAGGTGAAGGGAGTCAAGTGTATTGCAGAAAAACTACAAATTTGAAAAATAGAAGAAAAAACCTGTGGTTGGATTAATGACCAAGGACACAGGCTACCAGTAATGGTCCTGCATGGATTCCATTCATTCAAAAGAGGCATACACAGAAGGATTGTTGTTTCTGCTATCCCCAGACTGGAATATAAATGAAGAAGCTACTTGTCTGGATTGTGTCTATGGGGAAAAAACCTATCATGAAAACAATATTGTGTGTCTGGATCAGGCTGTTTCAGTATGATTATGCAGGAAATTTTGCTGTGGCATAACTCTAGTACATTGTGTCTGTGAGGTGGATTTCCTTTGGTTGATAACTTCCTTGTTCCTTTTGTTTTTTCCTTTTGCTGTACAAAATTTCCCCAAATAGTTGTCACTGATTGCTCTTGGCTATTTAGCCAATAAGCTTCCTTAAAAAAAACCAAAAAATAACTGCCCTCCACCCTCGCTCCCAATCTCTGGCTCCCTCTAAAATGGAGAACTTGAGAAAATGGAGAACTAGAACTGTGATAATAAAGGTCATATTGTAAAAGCCCAAATATATAATTTATTTCTGTTCATTTCAACACTACCCCATAGCTGAAGCTCTCTGGGCAGTTCACAACAATCCATAGAACAATAAAATAATAATAAAAATATCATAGAATTACTAAAAAAAAAGTTTAAAACAGCTAAAGACAAACAAAAAAGAATGACTCTGTAAAACTTCTGAGATGAATAATCTTCTCAAGCCCTTGGATATTCACATACCTCTTTAAAGGCCTTGGCATACAGGGCCGTTTTAACCTGGTACTGAAAAGACAGCATGGTTGGTGCCAGGCAGGCCACAATGGGAAGGTTGTGCCCTAGATGGGGGTGGGGAGTGAACACACCCCAGATAAAGCCTTGTTGACACCCTCTGAACATCCCTTGGAGTTGGCACTCGAAGGAAGGCCCCAGGCACTGAGCATAGGGACTAAGTATTGGGAGTTGGGAGAGGCGGTTCTTCAGGGACTGCAGTCCAAAGCCATGTAAGGCTCTGTAGGTTAAAACCAACACCTTGAATTGGGCCCAGAAGCATACAGGCAGCCAATGCAAGCATGCCAGAACTGTTTTTACATGTTCTGATGTGCAAGTTGCAGTTAATCTGGGTGCTGCATTCTGCATGAGCTGCAGCTTCTGAACCATCTTCAAGGGAAGCTCCACATACAGTGCATTGCAGTGATCTAATTTAGAGATTAACAAAGGATAGATTAGTGAAGCCAGGCTATCCCTGTCTTGATAGGGGCATAGCTGGACCACCAGCCAAAGCTGGTAGAGGATACTCCATGCCATTGAGGCCACCTGAGTCTCTAAGTGACAAAGATGGATCAAGGAAAACTCCCAAGTATGAACCTGCTCCTTTGTGGGAGAGCAACCCCATCTAGAACAAGTTGAACACCATCCATCCAGTCAAAGGAATCACCCACCAATAGTGTCTTCCTTTTGTCTGGATTGAGTTTCAGTTTGTTGGCCCTCATCCAGTCTGTTGTTGCATCCAGAAACCTATTTAGCACATCCACGGCCTCACCTGCTGACAATGAAAAGGACAAATAGAGATGTGTGTCATCAAGATACAGATGACAACACACTCCAAAACTCTGGATGACCCCACTCAGAGGTTTCATGTAGTTGTCAAATTGCGTGGAGGATAGAACATATCCCTGAGGAACTCCATGCTGGAGAATCCACAGGGCTGAACAAAATTCCTCAAGCACCATCTGCTGGAGATGTCTTTCCAAGTAGGAGCAGAACCACTGCAAAGCAATGTACCCCACTCTCAACTGAGACAGTCACCCCAGAAGGATATGAAAATCAATGGTATCGAAAGCCACCAAGAGGTCCAGGAATATTAACAGATGCGCACTCCCCATCTTGCTCCTGGCATAGGTCATTATCATACAGAATGACAAGGCTGTTTCTGTGCCAAAGCCAGGCCTGAACCATGACTTAAAAGGATCTGGATAGTCTCATCCCAGAGTGCCTGGAACTGAATATAGAGGAAAATCCCCCCCTTCAGGAATGATGAAATATGTCCACAACAGAACAGTGCTAGCAATAAGGGAACATATAACAAAGGCAATTTAGGTGCCAAAATAAAGGTTGCACCCCTAAGTGTACTTACCTGAAGTAGGTCCCATTGAACTCAGCAGGACTTATTTCTGAATAATCATGCTTGGGACTGTAATGTAAACATTTCCTAGTGTAACACTGGTTGAGCTGTGATGAATATAACTACCATAGTAAGTGTGCAAGTGTCATGGGGAAAATCCCTGCTGATGATGGAGGGTATCTGTTTAGCTAAATGGGATAGCTGCCCATTGACTGTCAGAACAGATCAAAAACTTCCAAGTTTACATAACTGATGCAGCACATTGTCCATTAATTTCAACCACATTTTATGTGCTTTGCAAACAATTTATTTTAGCAGGCAGCCATCACAAAGCAGTATTGTGCAATGTGCGCTAAAACTACTGTGTACCTGTTAAACAATTCTTTGTATCAACTTTTGTTTTATATGCAGGTGCAGTCTGCAGGCCCTTTGCACAGCGAACAGGTGGATTCTTTGCTCTTGCCTTCCTACTCTCCACAGGAAGGAAATGTAGAGTACCATCATGTGCATTCGCAGCGGCGGCAACATGGTGTCAGGAGATCCATCAGCTTGTCTAAATCCTCAAATGTGCAACAGCATTTGCAGTAGAATCCACTGTCACAATCAGTGCACATTTAGCTTTATTTAACAGTGGCCGGGCAGGGAAAACGGTTGGCATATGCATATGTGTTTATTTCAGATCTTTGTGATATACAAAGACCTTTACAAGTGTAGACCTTGGTGAATAGTGCAATAGGAAAGGAACGGGAATCATTTTGCAGATGTTTGCACTATTTGATATCTGTGTTATGAAGAGTTATAATAATACATGCCATGATGTGCAAACTGTGGCACTAACTGGTATGTGTCAGTAGAAGATTGTTCTGACTATTTCCACCAGAAAGTACTCTGGCTATTCCAAAAAAGTAAATTTAAATTTCTTGGCCTTCACTATTTTGCTGTTTTAAAATGAAAAGCACTGGTTCAGAGAGCTCTATTGAGAGGATGAGAGATTATTTTTATTATGATCGATATTATTGTTTTGCACAACAAGCATAATCTAGCACTTTTGGGGGAAAAAAGTCTGTTCCAGTGGCCAAACAAGCACTTCCAGTGGGATAGAACATGTCGTTTATTTTTTTGAAAAACAGAAAAAAAGCACCCTGCCAAAAGATTATTTATAGTCCTTGGACTGAAAGTATTGAGCTTGATACCTCCCCACCTCCCTCTTGCTATTTCTTATATTTCCAAGAAATTGCACTGGACAGTTTCCTATTTACTTAATGAACATAAGTAAACAGTGAATCTAAGCACAATCATGCAGCTAATACTCCAACATGCCTAGTCATGCTCTTCAAACACTTTAAAGAAAAACTATTACCTGAACAGCCCCTTCACACAACTTTTCACAGAACAAGCATCTGAAGAATATGCACTGTGTTACAGCCCATTAAGTGGGAAAATGCTGCAACTATATTACATATCTCTTTCATTATTACGTTTTAGGAGTGAATTTTCCTTCAATGCATTGCACTTTTGTATGCTTTATGTTGATGTTTCTAAGAGATTTTATGTCATTATAAAATAAGTAGTGTAAAAAAGCTGTTGTAAAAACATCAACCCTGACCTATTTCTATATAAAATAAAATTATATGGGATTATGTGGAAATTATTTTGTATATGAAAGACCAGCTCATTTCAAAAGTATAACACTTTTTCGTGCTTTTGCGAGTAAAGGTTTTATAATAAATGAATACTTAGCAATATGGCTTCAGATTTATAGCTTAAACATATGGGAGCCTGCAAAAGACAATTGGCACATTATGCTTTGCACCTGTGGAGGACTAATGTGATACTTGCACTGGTCAGCATCTGACATGAAGCAAGTAGTGCCAAACTTGCCTGCAGGATGTGGTAACCTGGTGCTTGCTACACTATTTGTTAGCTTTCTGTAATTTCTGTCCTCTCTATGCTGCCCCTTTCTCCTGTGTTTTATAATCTGTTGACAAACATATTTAAAAAGGTTGATCTGTCACCCTGTGCAGTTATGTCAAACTCTTAAGTATTCAGCGTGTACTACAGCATGTGGTAAATTCAGATGCTCATTTACCAAGTGGTAAAATACTGCAGTATAAATACAACTGTTAAGTGATTCTAGCTGCAGAAATTCCTGAACTATCTGCTGGATTTGAGAGAAAGCAGACATCCAGTGTAGTGTAGTGGTTAAGAGCACAGGAGTGGACTTGGGCGATCTGGGTTCCAGTCCCCACTCAGCCATAGAGCCAATTTGGGTGACTTTGGGGCAGTCACACACACTCAGCCCAACCTACCTCACAAGGTGGTTGTAGGGATATAATTGAGAGCAGAAGAGGAGAATGATGCAAATCACCTTGAGTTCTTAAAAAGAAAAGGCAGGATATAAATCTAATAAAGAAGCAGAGTGCACCTTTAAACCAGAGTGCAGAATCTTTTCACCTCAAGAACCACATGTAGTGCTGGTGGCGGTTGGAAGGCTGTATGCATGTACACAGGCACAGACAGAGACATGTATATAATGCACCAGTGGCCCTGATAAAGAAGAGGGTGGTCTGTTAGAGGGTTTGTGCGAAAGCAGCTGAGAGTTGAGGTATCAGAGCAATTGGCAGGTGGGGGACTTTGACTACTCTTGCTACTACAAGAGCCTCCTTTGCTTTGTCAGTTATACAGCAAAACCTCCCACACCTTTGGACCTGAGGGGTTCCATCTTCCAGCGTCTTATCTCTGCCTTTTGGCCGACTGTCCATGGGGTTTTCATGGCAAGGATACTGGAGTGGATTGCCATTTCCTTCTCCAGTGGATCACCTTTTGTCAGAGCCCTTTGCTATGACCTGACCGTCTTGGGTGCCCTTGCATGGCATAGCTCATAGCTTCATTGCGCTACACAATCCCCTTCGCCATGGCAAGGCAGTAATCCATGAAGGAGCTAAGTATAATAATGGGGTACATTTCAAGATCGCTGCAAGCTACACTCAGTACCATCTCTAATAGTAAAGATGGTCTTCCTTGCACGGTTGCCATAAGCTGTTTCCCATCCATCCTGCCGTACCCCGTAATGTGGGAATAACAGGTGGGCTATAAACCCGACGAAATGCCAGAGTGTACTGTGGGGAATCGGGGGCAGTAACGTTGCACTCCCTCGCGTGGTTAGAATGAGTCCGTCTTTCCAGCCATACAACTTGAAATACGGAGACAATATAGTTTATTTGGACGATGATGTTTAAAGCTTAAAATCTTATTTAAAAAACTTATTTAAATCGCAGTAAGACCGAAGTAAAAAGAGAATGGAGAGGGTAGGAGAATATTATTGCTATCATTGCTGCCTCTAAATCACAGCTACAACAAACTCCTTTGACGAGCAGCGACCACTTTTCCCAGACATGCCCCGCCTCTGTATTCATTTCCCTAGCTTCACCATAGAGATAACGAAACTCCCAACGCCTAGCACGCCTCTTGTGAGATGTCGGCTAACCCGGGAGTAGTCTGGCTTTTCCTTTCAGCTTTTCCCATCTCTATGGTAGTTCCGGGTCTCTTGGTTTCCTCCCATCGTCCACCGCGCCTTCCTTTTCGGTGTGGTCCTGAGCAGGGTGAGTAGTTGTGCTTTTGGCTCTTCGTGTTATCCGGATCCATCCGGTTCTGTGAGCCCCACAGCGGCAACAGTCGGGGTCGGTCTGGAAGCCTGGGGCGGGGGCGCTTATCGAGAACGGGGTATTTCTGCGTCTTGGCTGGAAGTCTCTCCAGATAGGACCGAGCTTGACCTCACCCCCCCCCCACCTCTTGGGCTTCCGTCCTGGCCTGAGTCTGATCCTGTCGAAAGGTGGTGCGAGAACAAAGAGAAGACGCAAAGGGGTCACTGCATCAATCAGGGAGAAGCGGGAGAAGTCAAGTAGGGGAGAAAGCAAAAAGGTCCCCGAGATCAGCGCTTTGGATGTATGTTTGGATCTTTAACGGTGTCTTTCCAGCCGCAGATCTTTGGTTTCCATGAAATTGCCTTACACCCATTCAAAGCCATTCATATTGATGACTATCACTATATCTTTTACTGTAAGTGGGACTAGCAACAGAATGTTGCAGGATAATATCTGCAGGGACTTAGTCTTGATATTATCAGTGGGTCATGCCTATCTTCAGGAAAGGATATTTCATAAGGAGTTTTAAGCAGGGGGCATGTGTGGTCTAGCTGCTGCTGTCCCCTAGGTGTTAACATTTTATTTATTTATTGTATTTGTATGCCGCCCGATAGCCTAAGGGGATGGCTTACAAGAAAACAGGAATAACAACATAACATAGTTGTAATGAAACAAAACAACATCTACAACCACTTGAAGGCCTACTAATATAAGGTGTGAAACAGGAGGATAATATCGACAACAATAAAACCAGCAGCAAAAATACCAAATAAAATCATGATTCTAAAAGCAAATCCTAAATTAAAACATTTATTTGGTGGAGAAAACAGAATAATGAGGGTGCCAGTCACACCTCTTCCGGAAGAAAATTCCAAAGATGAGGTGCAATAACAAGGCCCTTTTTCTTGTCAATTTTCCCCTCACATCATTTTGTGGACGTTTATGAAGATCCATTGAAGATGGATCCATTGAAAATCTAAGTGTGTTGGTAGGGATATATGGAGACAGGTGTTCCTTTAGTTATTCCAAGTCTTCCAAGCTATTTAGGGCTTTATATGTTAGCTTAAACACTGTGAATTGGGCCCAAGCAATGACAGTCACTGCAATTGGCAGAGAACAAGCATGATATGCTCTCTAGGACCGCCCCTTATTAATAACTGCACTGGTCTGTTTTGGATTAATTGAAGTGCCTTGACTGTCTTCACAGGCAGCCCCACATAGAATGCATCATTGTAATCACTGTGCCAAGGCTTTGTTCATCCAAGTAGGAACATAGCTAGAAAATCCACCTAAAAGGTGCTCCTGGCCACCAAGGCCACCTGGGAAATAAGTGACAACTCAGGGTCCAGGAGTCCCTCAAGCTGGTTCTGAGAGTTCTGCCAGCTTGATGACTATAGGATGTAGTTCATCAGGCCCTGAACTCATTCAACCCAGTCAGATGACCCTTGACCATTTTCCTGTCAATCTTGAACTGCTGTCCTGTTCCATCAGCTTGTACGTTGCCTTCATCAGGAAAGTCAAACATCTTTTGAGAGAAAACTGAGCCAAAGTAGGAATTGAGCACTCCTGCCTGTTTTCTGACATCTGTTCCTATTTTGCCATCCACATTAAGTAATTGAACCTCCATGTCTTTCCTCTGCCTTTTAGCTTGGGCATATCTGAAGAAGGCTGCTTTGTTGCTATGATCTGCAGGCAAGATTATATTTAGTTTTTCCTCCAAGGATCCCAGAGCAGCGTGCATGCTCCTGCCCATTTTTATTTTTACAACAAACTTGTATGATAGCTTAGATGACATCAGTAATAGGCCCAAGGTCACTTAGTAAGCTTTATCCCCAAATGGAAACTAGAAGCTGGATCTCCCCCATCCCAGTCCAGTAGATTAACAGCACTGGGACAATATGCTGTACTTCTGTAGTTTTCCTTCTGTCTATTATGAGTGATCAGTGTTCTGTAACTGTGGAAAATTGGATTGTTTATGAGTGGGTTTGTATGTCTGGAAACTCCAGGGTTAAGCTGACACCTCCCTTGTGTTTCATGGTGACCCCATCTTGGCATCAGTTCTGTTGGTGCTTACTGCTTAAGTTTAGTTGTTGGAGTAATATATACTGGGGGAAACAAAAGCAGAAGATGATTCATAAAAAGATGCAGAAATATTCCAGAATGAAACATTTTTGCCTTTCTTAGTGTGGAGGTTGTAAACTTCCACATTTTGTAAGTTTGGTGTCTTCAGTCTTAGAAATGCATGCCTAAAGGTTCAAAAATGACCTTTCCTATTGTCCAAGCCAAGGAACTGTTGTGGTCAAATTAATTTTAGCAGCCTTGGACACTCAGTGTTGCTTGTCTGGTGGTGGTATGACAAAGGGTGTGAACTCAAGTAGCTGCTTTTTCTCAGCCTTTCCCACTGTTGAAGCATGATATTATTGTGGGCCTAGAGCGGGCCTTTTTGCATTTATTGGGTATATGTGAAGAGATGGGTAAAATTCAGTGTTACCTGAGCAGACATCTGTTAATGCATCTGTTAATGCACTGGAACTTTTCTCTCTCTTGCCTGCAGTCTTCCAATTGGCTCCAGGGGGTCTCCAGAGTGAGTTAGTTGTGTTTTCCATCTGCAGCTAGCCTTGCTCTCTAGCTTTGTACGTGAAGTAGATGCAGAGCAGATTGTTAGAAGATGTCATGTTGTGCTGTGTAAAACAAGGCTTTAAACATTTTAATTTTGTCTGAATGTTGCATACAGATGGCTCCCGCCAAGAAAGGTGGTGAAAAGAAGAAAGGACGATCGGCCATCAATGAGGTGGTTACTCGGGAATACACTATAAATATTCACAAACGAATCCATGGAGTGTGAGTAGCTTGTCTTCCTAAGAACAATTTTCCATGTGCCTTTTTTGTAAATGTGTTGACATTGATAATTTGGTACAGAAATTGGTTAGGTTGACTGTAAAGGTTGGTTCAAAAGAAATGCTTAGACCTGATTGTGTATTTCTCTCAAAACTGTGACATCATTCTGTTCTCTCTTGCTCCCTCTCTCTATATGTATATATAAAGAACTCAGTTGTTTATGTCATTCCACATCCACTGTTTTCTAATGAGGAAGAAAATTTTACCTTAAATGATGCTGTGTTAATTGGTGACCAGTAATTCTAAGGCTTTGTCTGTTTATGAATAAAATAAAATTAGTTTCTATCAGATTTCAAACAACCAGAAATCTGCAGATTGTTGTCAAGAGTTCTCTGATGTTATAAGTGCATGAGGCATGTGCAGGGTTTTGAGAGAGCATTGGCTGGTGTGGGAAAGTTGAGCTAGCATTGGTTGGTATTTTTCTGTTTATAAGTTTCAGTACTACAAGGCTTTGCTTTGTAATGTTTGTGTGCCTGGTGTAAAACCTCCAGAATAATGTATGATACACATAATAACAGAAGGGGGAAGTTCTGAAGTGTTTATTTGATTACTGTGTGTGGTGGGGTGGGAGACAAGTAAAGAAGCCCATAGATAACATCTGAGACTTTTTTGGCCAGCAAATAAACATAAGGGATAGTCCATTTTCTGTCAGGTAAATAATAAAAAGTTACCAAGTATTTTTGTCTGAACATGCTGGGACATCTGTTTTGAATTAGAGTACACTTCTTTACTTCTTGTTCTTGTAAAGTTGGCAATTAATATTGAGAGGGGGTGGTGGTGGGTGTGGAAATAATCTCTCTGGTGTACTGGTGATGTACAATGGAACAGGTTTGGCGTTTTTCCTGTTTATAATGAGGACTATTGGGAATTTGTGCTCTTGCCACAAAGCTGAACAGGAAAAACTGTAGTTTAACCTCTGCATATCCATTTTGACAGTAATGAGACCCTTAGGAAAAAAAATAAATGCAGTGAATTGGCCAAATAGTTGTGTTTTCCATCTGCAGCTAGCCTTGCTCTCTAGCTTTGTACCTGAAGTAGATTTATTACAAGATTAACTTATGTGGAAATGTGTTCTGGAGAGGTAGTCAAATCTGACTTTTTTTTTTCAGCTTCAGTTTTTCTGAAAAGTTCTTGCCAACACTTAGCTTTAGAACTTTAATGAAAGTACCCCCAAACTGACTGGTTGTAGTTTTGAATTCACATCATGAGTAGTAATGAGCAGCGTGGGCCAGGTTTGAGGGCGGCCCTCGGCACAGTGTCCTTCATACTGCCACAGCTTTGCCCTTCTTCACCTCCCTTAGCAGTCTTTTTCCCAACAATGATCAGTCTGCTTAGTCTTAGCTTCCTTTTCCTTTAAGCAGCCCTTCCTCCAAATCATACTGCCTCAAGCCCACCCTTTCTTGAAGATGAGCTGGCAAACAGGAAGGTTCTAGCAGGCAGCACTTCTGCGTACTTGCTGGCAGTTTTCATTTTAAACTTTTTCTGAGCACGGATATCAGCAATGAGGGACCAGTGAGAGATGCTGGAGTGGCCCACTTAATCTTTACACCCTCTTCTCTAAAAACATCTAATTTACCAAGCTGCTGTTTTGAATAAAAAGTTTCTGCTACAGCCTTGGCTACAGAGCAGTGTGATGTGATTTGCTGCTGCAAGCTATATTCACTAGGCGACCACTGCTTCTGGCATCATTTCAGGGTTTGTGGGGGCAATCCTGGATTTAAGGGCAGAAGTTTGGCTCTAGCATCAACTTTTAAGGGTACCTGAAGCTTCAATTTTTGCCTCTGAAATCCAAAAATATTGCTTGAATCTTACCAATTTTAGTTGTTTTCAGAAAATGTAGTTTAATGTTGAAATACTATATAGGAAGTATATAGTAAAGGAAAATACTTTAAAACAAAAATATTTTCCTAACCAGCTGGTAATTGCTGCTTTTATGCAAGTTTCTGGTACTCTTTGTGGTATTTAAATCCTGAAATCTGGGAGCAAAAATGGGTTTCTTGGGTTTAATAGCACTATTTCTTTTCTCTTACTGAATACTTTCTGTATTCTCAGAGGCTTCAAGAAGCGGGCTCCTCGGGCTCTTAAGGAGATCCGTAAATTTGCCATGAAAGAGATGGGGACTCCTGATGTACGCATTGACACCCGTTTAAACAAGGCTGTTTGGGCAAAAGGAATAAGGTATATTTCAGATGGTTTGAAACAGGCAAACATTTGTCTTTTGCACTAAGCAGAAGGAAGCTTAATTGAACAGGACACCATGATCTATGTCTCAGGGATTTCTCTGACTACCAATTCCAAGGGAGGCCAAGAAAAGGCAGCAGGGAAGGTTGAGGTCTCAGTCATGCATTCCCCCCCACCGCCACCCCCACTCCCAAATTAGGGAATGATCTTGCATAGAGGCCTGCCTGGTGCTAACATTGTTATCTTTTCAGCATCAGGTTAAAACTGCCCTATACTGCCAGAGATTTAATGTTATATATTAGAATTTTACACACTACCCTAATTTGTTTGTATTGTATCCATTTCATTACACTTAAGATAAATGGTTACAAGCTGCCCAGAAAGCTTTGGGTGCTGGGTGTTATAGGAATGAAATCTGTAACCATCCAGCTGTAAGATGGGTTGCACTAATATCTGTCTGATTAGAATATGGTGAAAGACACCTGTATTGGTGGAATCTCTCAAAACAAGCAGTTGCCAGAAAAGTGCTTCCAATTGAAGTGGAAGGAGCAAAACATGGAAATGGTGTGACTTCAGGTTTAACCGTTTCTGATCAAAAATTTTTGAATGGCTTCATTCCATCGTCGTATAGCTGAGCTCTTAATCTAGATCCTGCAGCAGCAGGGGGTTGGACCCAGTGGCCTTCAGGGCCCCTTCCAACTCTATTCTAATGCTTTAAATGCTTCTAAAAAACTGCTCTAGCAGGCTGGTGCACCCCTTGCTCTCTTCCAAATAATTTTTAAAAACCTAGCTACATGGACTTCTGAGCCCATCTAGCTTGCTTAGTGGTAGTGGGATGGGAACAAGTGCTAGGGGAACCATAGGATACTTTGGATCCTGTTCTTTCCCTCCACTGTTTGCTCCGATGCCTCCTACTCGGCGTCAAATGAGTTATCAGAAGTTGCTGCTGTGACTTCCACAGGTTTTTCTGCAGCAGTTGTGAGGGCAAGGTAAGGGATTCAGGGCTAGATTCCACTTCCCAAGGCCATAACAGTCCACATTGCCTTTAACATTAGGAATACAGAGCTGAAAAACAATTGAGAATTCACTTATTTCTCATGGGTAGTTTTAAACAGCTTTTGATATGTAAGTAAATACTAGATTTTGGTCCTAGTCAATGTCCAAAAGAATATGCTTCTAATTCCATTCTTTTCATACCTAAATTTTTTCTAGGAATGTTCCTTACCGTATCCGTGTGCGTTTATCCAGAAAACGCAATGAGGATGAAGATTCACCCAATAAACTGTACACGCTGGTTACATATGTCCCAGTTACCACTTTCAAAAGTAAGCTTGTCTTCTACATTTGTAGAACGTTCAGGAGGAATCTAGATTGGCTGGTCTGGGTAGTTTGATATATATCAGTGTTATGTACAAAAATAATTTCCCTATTCCTCAGAAAGATTTAGAAAATCCTGTGTAAATTATGCTGGATTTAGAATATAAATTCAACTGTTTCTATAATTTATGCAGATTCTCTTTCTCTCTTTGCAGGTCTACAGACTGTCAATGTGGATGAAAACTAAACTTTTATTACAATAAAACATATAAAAGTTATATTAATGTGCTCAAGCTTCTTTGTGAAGGTATATTGAGGTTCAAGCTATGGTTCACAAACTGGCAGTTTTAAGTATTGAACAATTTGCTGGGAACAACAGTGGAACAAGTATTTATATATAATACCAAGAATGTTAGATAGTTCTCTGATGTGTCTTGGAATAACAAGGTTTATTAAAATGCAGAGCAATCCAAAATGGCATATGAGAGAACTCAGATACAAGACCCCCCACCCCACCAGCTATTGAAAGCCCTCCTAGCCTTCTGCCATCTCAGAGGAACAGCATTTCCAATCCCTCCCTGGGCCCATGGGTCTTTAAATACTTGTGAATCACCTCCCACTGAAAGCTATGGGAGAGAATTGGGCTATGAGAGTTCTAGAACTGGTATAGCTTGTCAGCCATGCTAGGGACACCATGCTGGAGATGTTCCCTTCTCTACTCTGCTGAGCTGAAGGAATGTCCCTTTGCCCTTAAGACATGTCAGATTTCACTTTTAACAGCCGCAGAAACATAAGAGTACAGCCTTAGAGAATAATAAATATCTTGCTCAAGAAGAGCAATTGGAAAGAAATTGGGAGGGCTACTGACTGATCAGGATCATTTTCAAAGTTGTTTCAAAAAAGCAACAGTTGTAAAAGTGTTTTTATTGAAAAGTGCACACACTGACAGACATGAAAAGCACAGTCCTTGTACACGGAACATTAAAGCAAGACATAGAAATCTTGAATCAAATATATTAATAGTTTCAATTACCAGCATTGAAACAAGTCTTCAGTATTAGTGCAAAAAAGGCAACTATATAGAGAACCTGTACTCAGCCAGACAAAATTGTTACAGGAGTTGAGCCACATTTCTTTTGTAGAACCAGTTAACACATTTGCAGCATCTTCAAAGTTGAAGATTTGAGTTTTTAAAATTACATTCAAGAAGAAAAACAAATGGTGCTTCAAGCCCCCATTGAATGTGTTTTGGCATTAAAGCTCTCCCAACAGCATTTGTCAGATGATCAAGTCATCAAAATAGTCCGAAAGCTTTTAACATTGCAGAATGTGCTTTGGTGTGACACACAAGCTGTCTTGGCCATTTGCTAATGTACGCTTAGATGCTCAGTCTCACCTCGTGATGGTTGACTTGTGCCATTCATTTTGAAGTTATACTGAATCATCTTTGCATTTTCCAGTTTTGGTTTCAGTTCCAAGGATTTTTCAAAGAAGTTGACTAGTGACTGCTCAGTTAATAGTGAAGCCAAAATGTGTTCGAAAGAAACATTCCAGTCCCCTTCAGTTAGTGGCGACGGTGCACTCTTTGGGGTCCTTGCAGTGTCAGCAAAAACTGCATCCTGATCTGACGTAGCTGCCTCAGTCTGGAGGTCCTCAGTAAGTTCATCTGAGCCTGAGCTGCTGCTTCTTTGACCCACTTCTCCAATTTGAAGTAACAGAGTAGTGACTGTGGCAATTGCTTGATACAGCTCATTCTCTTCTGGGTCTTCATGAAACATGCTGTATAAGGTCTTGCAGAACTGGATAAACTCTCGCTACAGAACAAGACAATGGAAGGAAAAGAATATTGGACATACGGGAATCTTTCCTTTACAAGAGTTCACACTACTGACCTAATATAAATTAGACTCTCTGTTAATGCAATAGAAAATCACTGATTTTTTTTTTTGCCTGTCTTGAAATTTTCTTTTAATGTGGAGGATATACTGGAGGATATAAAGGTGTATGAAACATATAAAAGGATATATGAAGCTGAAGTAGGGGGACACTGGTCTACTGATGACTGGGGCAGATGCATATGCAAATCATGTTCTATCGAGAGGCAACCTTGCTTTGTTACTGGCTACAGAAATATTTTAATGGCACTGCTAACAAGTCTAGGCAAGATATATTTTAAGCTCAAGCAATAGCATCTTCTAGCTATTCAGCAGTCGTCCTATTAAGGGGAACATGCCACATGCTGGTCCCTCATGCATTTCATGGAAGAAAGCAAGCCTACAAGTGACGGGTCCCATGAAATTTGGATCACACTTGTGCAGGCTTCTTAACACTCATGCTGCCAGTGTTCAAAGGTGGGCTGGGCATATCCATGATGCAGCCCTTCCCCCCTTCCCATACACTGATGTTGCCAATTTTTATTCTGTAGGACACGGAAATTAAACTGACTTCAGAAGTGGTCAGAGGTGGATTTAGGATGGAGCTTCAGACTGATGGCTCCTGTGATAGCTCAGACTTAGCAACATATCTTTCATTGTCTCTTACCTGGCTCATTTTTGGCAATTCTTTTTCAGCCTTGGCATCTTTTTCTTTGGCTAAGTCCTTAAGCATCTGCTTTAGTTGCTTTTGATAATCAATGGCTTCACCTAGATACCAGGATATAAAGAAGTTACAATTCACTGTAACAAACAGGAAAGGAAAATCAAAGTAAACAGATGTAAGAAGAGTCCTGTTGGATTAGAGTTTTTGATAGCTGTCTCCTGTTCCCAGTAACTGGCATGAAGAACCTGGAGGTAGCACATCATCGTATAGTAATCACAGTTAATTACAGTGTATTAAATGGCCCTTTGAAGCCATCAAGCTGGTGGCCATCATCATAATTCATGGCCATGGATTCCTTAAGATAACTTACAAAAAATAACAGATACCTATTAAACTAAATTAAATTTAAAGTCAGATCACTTACCCTTTGATTTCCCAATTACTAGAGGCCTTGAAGTTGACAACAAAGGATTCTTTAGAGGTGATTGGCTGTCCCTGTCATTTTCTGTGAGGGCTATTAAAAAAAACACCAAAATGATACAGTGTATGATCACAACACTACATCAATCACAATGGCTCAGATCTAGCCTTCTATCTAAAGTCATACTTCAGTGTGTCTACTCTAAAGGCTCTAATCCAATAAGCTAAAGCAAAGACTTAAATGGCTGTTTTGGAATTGCTGTGACTTCTCTTATTTTCAGCTGCAGCTGCTAGGGCTGAGGAGAAGCGCTCAGGGACCTAGCTCTCAGGGTTTCACACTGAAGCATTCAGCAAACCACTGGTGACTTGTTAAAGAGGTTAATATTTCATATATAAAGAAAAGCTACATGGGATACAGGAAATGCAGCTGAGACATTCTACACGTATTACTTCCAAGTGCACATGGTCTTTCCAAACAACTTTGGAAACTAAACAGTAATAAAAGCATTATAAGAAAGGGCAATACAAAAAAATGCTTAAGGTTCTTACCAGGAGGAATGTGCAGCTTGTACAACAGTTTGATCTTTTCATTCATTTCTCCATTGTACATAATATCTGTATGAGAAAGAAGATGAACCAAAGACTTGATATGTGAGAACTAGCAATCTGGAGAAGAAGCTTAACAAGACAGACATCCATGCAATCTGAATCTACTGCCTAACACCAGTGTTGGTAGTTTTCAGAAGAATCAAAAGTTACTCAGTGGAATGGGGAGGGAGGCTTAGTTAAGAATCTTGTCTGTATTGGTATTTAAGTCAGTTTGAGGTACTTGTTAAGTTTATTTTGAAATTTGAAAAATTAATCTTCAAAAGTTTCTAGACTTGATTTTCATCTGAGGCAAGAAGCAAATGGTGGACCCTACCACCACCAGTTTTATACACCCCCTTCCCAATATCAAAATGCACAGTGCAGAAATACTTCAAGCTGCAAATAAAATGACACTTGCAAATTTTAGCCTGAATATGCACAGAACTGGCTTTAAAGGAGTGTTTTATTTTAGATCAAGTAATAGAGCAAATGTGGGTGCACAGAGACCACAAAGAACTCTGCTGCTTGCCTTCTCATGGGGCCAAGATATGAGCTCCCAAAGAAATAAGGTTAGGTCAAAGATAAATACTGGAAACGAAGTACTGCAAAATCAATGAGTTTATGTATGCATTGTCCCTACTAGTTCTTGCATCAATCCAAGATCCTAATGACAGCTGAATTCTTAAAATACTGTAGTTACCCAAGCAGCCAGCAAAACCTTTGAATTCAATGAGGTGGTCCATGTTTTCATCCAAAAGGCGGAAAGTCCTTTCTGCTAGAACCTCAGTGTGTTCACCACATATCCAAGGTGAGACAAGTTTATACAGGTTAGTAAACTGCTGAGAGTCAATTCTGTACTGTTCAGCATATGGTCTGCTTGGATCGTGACGATGAATTACAATTGCACTATTCCATTTCCAGTAGCAGCTTATTAGATGTTCTTTCTAAAGAGAATGGATCCAGAAACAAAATGCACAACAAAATGAAACATTAGGAAAACAATATTCACATAAAAAAGTAACATTAGACTTTAAAGAATTACTGTCTGGTTCACACCAAGCTAAGCCACAGTTGGTTGTCAGCAAGGATGGCTGCAGCGTTGCTCAGTCTGACATTCAGATCATGGGCTGTTTTTCACAATCACCTTGAGAACCAATACTTGTAGGGTTATTTAGAGTTGCTTGTCCTGGCATGAGAACCAAGCAGAATTGTTTCAGCATGGATTGTTTAAAATACTGAGAGGGCAAGAATACTGCAAAACTCCTGGCTACTCCTTATGATCTTGTTAACTATACCCCCTACTGTATCTTCACATGTGCAAATTGCAATATGAAATGCTGAAGCAGATTCGTTTCTGCACTTCAGCACACATCCTTCCCCAACCTTGTGCCTTAAAGACATGTCTGGGCTACAAC